TTTGTATATAAGGCTAGTTTAGGAGGTACAACAATTTAATTCGTTGCAGGTTGGTTCTGTCTGTTTTTTTTTTTGGTAGAGCTTGACTTATTTTCTTTAAAAGTGGTTTTCATTTTTCCCCCTAATTTATTATTATTATTATTTTTTTTTTTTTTTTTTGAGACGGAGTTTCGCTGTTGTTACCCAGGCTGGAGTGCAATGGCGCAATCCCGGCTCACCACAACCTCTGCCTCCTGGGTTCAAGCAATTCTCCTGCCTCAGCCTCCCAAGTAGCTGGGACTACAGGCACGCGCCACCATGCCCAGCTAATTTTTGCATTTTTAGTAGAGACAGGGTTTCACCTTGTTGACCAGGATGGTCTCGATCTCTTGACCTCGTGATCCGCCTGCCTCAGCCTCCCAAAGTGCTGGGATTATAGGCGTGAGCTACTGCGCCCAGCCTTATAGTAAACAGCTTAATGTAATATGCCATTATAGTATAATAAATTTATATAGTTTTAGTCTCCAGTGTATAGTGGGTTTCTTCTTTTTTTTTTGAGTCTCTTTCTGTTGCCAGGCAGAAGTGCAGTGACACGATCTCAGCTCACTGCAACCTTCACCTCGCAGGTTCAAGCGAGTCTTCTGCCTCAGCCTCCCGAGTAGCTGGGACAATGGATGCACGCCACCACACCCAGCTAATTTTTGTTTGTTTGTGTTTTTGAGATGGAGTTTTGCTCTTGTTGCCCAGGTTGGAGTGCAATGTCATGATCTTGGCTCACCACAACCTCTGCCTCCTGGGTTCAAGTGATTCTCCTGCCTCAGCTTCCCGAGTAGCTGGGATTACAGGCATGCGCCACCATGTCCGGCTAATTTTGTATTTTTAGTAGAGACAGGATTTCACCATATTGGTGAGGCTGCTCTCGAACTCCCAGGTGATCTGCCTACCTCAGCCTCCCAAGGTGCTGGGATTACAGCCGTGAGCCACTGTGCCCAGCCCAATTTTTGTATTTTTTTTTTTTTTGAGGCCGAGTTTCGCGCTTATTTCCCAGGCTGGAGTACAATGGTGCTATCTCTGCTCACTGCAACCTCTGCCTTCTGGGTTCAAGCGATTCTCCTGCCTCAGCCTCCTGAGTAGCTGGGATTACAGGCACCCACCACCACACCCAGCTAGTTTAGTATTTTTAGTAGAGATGGGGTTTCACCATTTTGGCTAGGATGGTGTTGATCTCTTGATCTAGTGATCTGCCCGCCTCAGCCTCCCAAAGTGTTGGGATTACATGCGTGGGCCACTGCGCCCGGCCATTGAGTTTCAATTCTATGGAGGCCTGCAGAATTATTCAAATAACTATTCTCATTCTCCCATGGGAACAAAGGATAATCTTACCTTCTTGGTGCCACAGTGTGCCACTCAAAAATATTCATGATCATAGATTCAGGAAAGATTCTATGATGGGGCCAGGCGCAGTGGCTCACACCTATAATCCCAGCACTTTGGGAGACCGAGGCGGGTGGATCATGAGGTCAAGAGATCGAGACCATCCTGGTCAACAAGGTGAAACCCCGTCTCTACTAAAAATACAAAACTTAGCTGGGCATGGTGGTGTGCACCTGTAGTCCCAGCTACTCGGGAGGCTGAGGCAGGAGAATTGCTTGAACTCAGGAGGCGGAGGTTGCGGTGAGCCGAGATCGTGCCATTGCACTCCAGCCTGGGTAACAAGAGCGAAACTCAGTCTCAAAAAAAAAAAGATTCTACAATGTGACAGTACAAGCACTAGGAACAAAGAAAAAGTATTTAATTTAAACTGCATTGAAATTTTAAACTTTTGTGTTTCAAAGGACACCACACTGGTAAGACATTTAAAAGCATATGGCCATGGCAGCCTGAATGCACCTGATCTTTTTTGATCTCAGTTCCTAACCAGGATTGGGTCTGGAACTTGCATGAGGTCAATACTGGGAATACCATGTGCTGTATGCTTTCTTTTTCTCTCTCTCTCTTTTTTTTTTTGTGTGTGGATGGGATGGAGTTTCACTCTGTCTCCCAGGCTGGAGTGCAGTGGCGTGATCTTGGCTCACTGCAACCTCCACCTCCTAGGTTCAAGTGATTCTCCTGCCTGAGGCTCCTGAATAGCTGGGACTACAGGTGTGCGCCATGACACCTGGCTAATTTTCGTATGTTTTAGTAGAGACGGGGTTTCATCATATTGGTCAGACTGGTCTTGAACTCATGACCTCGTTATCCGCCCTTCCTGGCCTCCCAAAGTGCTGGAATTACAGGCGTGAGCCACTGTGCCCAGCCCCACACCCCTCTCTTTTTTTGAGATGGAGTTTTGCTCATGTTGCCCAGGCTGGAGTGCAATCGTGTGATCTTGGCTCACCGCAACCTTCGCCTCCTGGGTTTAAGCGATTCTCCTGCCTTAGCTCCTGAGTAGCTGGGATTACAGGCACCTGACACCACACCCTGCTAATTTTGTATTTTTAGTAGAGACGGGGTTTCTGCATGTTGGTCAGGCTGGTCTCGAACTCCCGAACTCAGGTGATCTGCCCACCTCAGCCTCCCAAAGTGCTGGTATTACAGGCGTGAGCCACCCCATCCAGCTGCTGTACACTTTAAGAAAAGAAAAGAGGCTGAGTGTAGTGGCTTATACCTCTAATCCCAGCACTTTGGGAGGCTGAGGTGGGTGGATTGCTTGAGCTCAGGAGTTCAAGACTTGCCTGAAGAAAATGGTGAAATCTCATCTCTACCAAAAATACAAAAAATTGCCTAAGTTTGGTGGTGCACACCTTTGGTCTCAGCTGCTCTTGAGGCTGAGGTAGGAGGGTCATTTGAGCCTGGGAGGTGGAAAATGCAGAAACCGAGGTGACGCCACTCACCCCACCATGGGCAACAGAACGAGACACTGGCTCAAAAGAGGGAAGAGAAACTTGATGAATTATCATGGATTGAGGAAATGGAACTTGATTGGATATCAAGTTTTGGGGGGATTCTCCCTGAACTCCTTTAGAAGGATTTTTTTATGAAATTGGGCTCTGCAGGAGAAGGATAAAACCTAGTTAGGAAGAGGGTTCTGAGCAGCCTGACTCATATTTGATCAAGGAAGGAAGAAGTCTGTAAGACTCCTGCTGTTGGCTCTTTTTAGGGATGACAGTCCCTAAATATTTGGTTCCCTTGCTGAATTCCAAAACACCCACTTTCCCTCTCTAAAGGACGTCTTCAATTATGCATCGACCCTGACATTTGAAAGAGCTGTGGTATTTTATTTTTATTTTCCCATAGAGCCATACATGACTGTATTTAAATTTTTATTACATTAATAATGAATACTTTTCATGAGAGGGAAACACTCAGTAACCACCCAAAATTACATTGTAAAAAGTTCACCTAGGCTGGGCATGGTGTTCGTTTCAGGCTTATAATCCCAGCACTTTGGGAGGCTGAGGTGGGTGGATCACAAAATCACAAGGCCTAGCCAAGAGACCAGCCTGGCCAACATGGTGAAACCCCATCTCTACTAAAAATACAAAAATTAACCTGGCATGGTAGCGGGTGCTACTCAGGAGGCTGAGGCAGAATTGCTTGAACCTGGGAAGCAGAGGTTGTAGTGAGCTGTGATCACGCCATTGCACTCCAGCCTGGGCCACAGAGCGAGACTCTGACTCAAAAAAATAAGTACATCTTATATTTCCTGATGTTAAGCACCTTTTAATGTGCCTTCTGGTCATTTGGATGTATCTTGGAGAAATGTTATTGGAATACAGTGAGTCTTGCTCTCTTGCCCAGGCTGGAGTGCAGTGGGACGATCTTGGTTCACTGCAATCTCCACCTCCCAAGGGGCTGGGATTACAGGTGCCTACCACCACGCCCAGCTAATTTTTGTATTTTTAGTGGAGACAGGATTTCACCATGTTGCCCAGGCTGGTCTTGAGCTCCTGGCCTGAGTAATTTGCTCGCCCCAACCTCCAAAAGTGCTGGGATCACAGACATGAGCCACTAAGCCTGACCACAAAAAAGTTTTTACGTTTGATAAGTTTGTCTTTTTGTTAAGATTGGGCGCCCTGCCTAGGTACAATGCCTCACGCCTGTAATCTCAGCACTTTGGGAGGCTGAGGTGGGCAGATCACGAGGTCAGGAGTTTGAGACCAACCAGGCCAACATGGTGAAACCCCCATCTCTCTAAAAATACAAATATTAGCTGGGCCCTGGTGGTGGGCGCCTGTAAGCCCACCTACTTGGAAGGCCGAGGCAGGAGAGGCACTTGAACCGGGGAGGTGGAGGTTGCAGTAAGCTGAGACCATGCTACTGCATTCCATCATGGGCGACAGAGTGAGACTGTCTCAAAAAAAAAAAAAAAAAAATTGGGCACCCTGGGGTTTTTACCTTTCACCCTTGTTGACGTTCAACTTTGAGCAATTCAATGACAATGTAGCTTTACTACCTAAGCAGTAATTCCCAGAATCGTTTCTTCTCATAAGTTTTTTCATTTTTGTTTTTGTCTTTTTAGTTATTTATAACTGTCTTATCAGTTAGATTGACGGGCCCCCTCATAAAATCTACTTTTTTGGTTTGTTTCTGTCACTGGAATTAGAACAAAAATCTACTTTCTAGCTATCATCAAAGTTTAAACTTTTTCTTTGTGATGCAAGGAACAGACATTTTCAAGGAAACACAGCCTCAAGACTGCTTATGTTAACTTTTCTCTGCATGTGAATTCATAGGACTTTGTTGCAGCAGTGCTACAGACCCACACTACAAGTAGACATTAGGGGCAATGCAGACAGCACAACTTTCTATATGGATTCACCAGAAATTCGCACATTTTCCTATTCTGCTGTTGCTTTACCCCATGGTTAAGTTGTAGCATCAGAATTGCTTTATGGAAGAAAGTGAGTGTAGGCACAAAGTAAGGTCTGATGACTAAGTCATGAAATCTACAGCATCGTGAGAACCTCTAAGGAATAGGATATAGATGCCCAGTGCTATCAGTCTCACCCATCCTTCTCTGTACATGTGCGATGTTTCAGGACTCGGTGGCCTTTGAGGATGTGGCTGTGAACTTCACCTCAGAAGAGTGGGCTTTGCTGGATCCTTCCCAGAAGACTCTGTACCGAGAAGTGATGCAAGAAACCTTGAGGAACCTGGCCTCTGTAGGTAAGGGTGACAATATTAGTTCCCTCAGTGAATTAGAGAACAAATGTTTCTCTTTCATCCATGCTGTTGAGTAATTTGGAATATGGACAGGCAATACTTGGATGAATAAATGAGGCATGTTGCAGTGTATCATGAACATAGAATCAAATAATTATTTCATAATTTTATACTAATTCAGGCCTATGCATCTGTGTCTGTATTTCAGGAAAGAAATGGAAAGACCAGAACATTGAAAATGAGTACAAAAATTTCAGGAGCAACCTAAGGTAATCTGTATTCATAAGACTAAGCAGTGTCTCTAGAAAATTTTAGAATGGGAGGAAATACTAAAAAGAAGGAAACAGACAAAGAAGCTGAGTTCCAATGTATTGTTCATATTTTCTCTAAAAACCTGCATTTATTTGTGATATAGGCTAGACACCATGACACATGTCTATAATCAGCCCTTTGGGGGAGGTTCAGACCAGAGGATTGCTTGAGCCCAGGAATTTGAGGCTGCACTGAGCCATGATGACATCATTGGACTATAGCCTGGGAAACAGGGCAAGAGTCTCACTCAGAAACAAAATTAAACACAAAAGAGGTTTTGTATTTGTACAGTCATTTATGGAAATAGTATTAAGCCCCACATCAGTATTTTTTGATGATAGATATGACTGGGCCATTTTGTAGAGCATTCACGTTCAAACAATTCAGACAGGGTAGAAAGCCTACACTTTGCTGGACAATGTTAAAAATGCGAGTGTAATACTTGTGAATGAATGTAAAATCACTTATAAAGTAACTGATTAAATGTGCTTTTGATTTTCACAGAAGTCTTATGGAAGAGAGACTCTTTGAAAGTGAAGGTTATCAGCGTGGAGAAATTTTGACCCAGGTTCCAGATGACATGTTGAAGAAGAAAACTCCTGGAGTAGAATCATGTGAAAGGAATGTGTGTGAGGTTGGCATGGGTTGTTTATCCCTTCATAAGCACACCAGAGCTGACACTGGACACAAGCTGTATGAGTATCAGGAATATGGACAGAAGCCATATAAATGTGCATACTGTAAGAAAGCCTTCAGTCATCTCCCCCACTTTCACAAACATTTAATTGGTCACACTGGAGAAAAACCCTATAAATGTAAAGATTCTGGGAAGCCATTTAGTTTTCCCGTTTCTTTTCATGAACATAAAAGAGCTCAGTCTGGTAAAAACCCCTATGAATGTAAACAATCTGGAAAAACATTTGGATGTGCCTCAGAACAAATGCATGGAAGAACTCCCAGTGTAGAGAAACCTTATGAATGTAAGAAATGTGAAAAAGCATTTAATAACTTACCTTCTTTTCAAATACATGAAAGAATGTACAGAGGAGGGAAGCATCATGCATGTAAGGATTCTGGGAAGACATATCGTTTATTTGGTTTCTATCATAGACATAAAATGCCTTACACTGGTAGGAAATTTTATAGATGTAAGAAATGTGAGAAAGCCTTTATTAGTTTCTGTACCTTTCGATACCATCAAAGAACTCACACTAAACAGAAACCATATGCGTGGAAACAATGTGGGAAAGCTTATATTTCTTATACTTCTTTTCAATACCATCAATTGAGTCACACTGGAGCAAGACGCTATGAGTGTAAGCAGTGTGGCAAAGGCTTCAGTTTGCCCAGTTCCATTCGATACTATGAAATGTCTCACACTGGAGAGAAACCCTATGAACGTAAGCAACGTAGGAAAGCTTTCAGATGTGCCTCAAGCCTCCGAAGACATGAAAGGACTCACACTGGGGAGAAACCCTATGAATGTAAACAATGTGGTAAAGCTTATCATTATTGGAGTGGCCTTCGAATACATGAACTAACTCATACTGGGAAAAAGCCTTATGAATGTAAGGAATGTGGGAAATCATTCTACCGTTCTGGTTCCTTTCTAAATCATAAAAGGATCCACACTAGGGAGAAGCCTTATGAATGCAAGGAATGTGGGAAAGCATTTCATAATCCCATATCCTTTCAAAAACATGAAGGGAGTCACAGAAAAGAGAAGACTTATGAATGTAAGCAATGTGGGAAGGTATTTGGTTTTTCCAGTTCCCTTCAGAGACATGAAAAGACACACATATGTGAAAAACACGATGAACATAAACAACCTGGGAAAGGATTTTTTCATAGAAGCTCTCCTGGACACATGAAGATAGACACTGGAGAGACACTTCATAAATGTAAGATATGTGGAAAAGTCTTTCATTCTCGCAGTTCATTTCAAACACATGAAAGATCTCACAGTAGAGAAAAATGCTATAAATGCAAGCAGTGTGGGAAAGTCTTTGTTTATTTCAATCCCTTTCAACGTCATCAAAGGAATCACACTGGAGAGAAGCCCTATGAGTGTAAGCAGTGTGGGAAAGTCTATATTTCTTCTACTGCTTTTCAATATCATGAATTGAGTCACAGTGGAGCAAAACGCTATAAGTGTAAGCAATGTGGCAAAGGCTTTAATTTGCCAAGTTCCATTCGATACCATGAAATGACTCACACTGGAGAGAAACCCTATAAATGTAAACAATGTGGGAGAGCTTTCAGATCTCCCTCGCATCTTCAAACACATGGAAGGACTCACACTGGGGAGAAACCCTATAAATGTAAAAAGTGTGGTAAAGTCTATCGTTACTGGAGTGGTCTTCGAATACATGAACTAACTCATATTGGAGAAAAGCCTTATGAATTTAAGGACTGTGTGAAATCATTCTATAGTTCCAATTTCTTTCTGAATCATAAAAGGGTCCACACTAGAGTCAAGACATATGAATGCAAGGAATGTGGCAAAGCATTTGATAATCCCACATCTTTTCAAAAACATGAAGGGAGTCACAGGAAAGTGAAGACTTACGAATGTAAGGAATGTGGGAAGGTATTTGGTTTTTCCAGTTCCCTTAGAAGACATGAAAGGACACACATAGGTGAAAAACGCTATAAATATAAACAACGTGGGAAAGGAGTTTCTCATCCTAGAGGCTCTCCCAGGCACACGAATATGTATACTGGAGAGAGACCCTATAAATGTAAGATATGTGGGAAGGTCTTTCATTCTCCCCGTTCACTTCAAACACATGAAAAATCGCACACTGGAGAGAAATGCTATAAACCCCATAAATGCAAGCAATGTGGGAAAGCCTTTATTTATTTCAGTGCCTTTCAACGTCATCAAAGGAGTCACTCTGGAAAGAAGCCCCATGAGTGTAAGCAATGTGGGAAAGCCTATGTTTCTCTTGCTTCTTTTCGATCTCATCAGTTGAATCACGCTGGAGCGAAACTCTATGAGTGTAAGCAGTGTGGCAAAGGCTTCAATTTGCCCAGTTCCATTCGATATCATGAAATGACTCATACTGGAGAGAAACCCTATGAGTGTAAGCAATGTGGGAGAGCTTTCAGATGTGCCTCCAGCCTCCGAATACATGGAAGGATTCATACTGGGGAGAAACCCTATGAATGTAAACAGTGTGGTAAAGTCTATCGTTATTGGAGTGGCCTTCGAATACATGAACTAACTCATATTGGAAAAAAGCCTTATGAATGTAAGGAATGTGGGAAATGGTTCTACAGTTCTGGTACCTTTCTAAGTCATAAAAGGATCCACGCTAGGGAGAAGCCTTATGAATGCAAGGAATGTGGGAAGGTATTCGGTTTTTCTAGTGCCCTTCGAAGACATGAAAGGACACACACTGGTGAAAAGCCCTATGAATAAACAATGTGGGAAAGGATTTTTCATATCTTCCATGGAGGTTTGAATGCATGAAAAGACACACTACAGAGAAATCCTAAATATAAGTGGTGTATGAAATCATTTAGTAATTTATCTTCCTTTTACATGGAAAGATGCACACTGGAGAGAAGGCATATAAATGTAAGAATTGTTGGAAAGCCTTCACATCTGCCAAGAGCCTTCAGAATCATGGAAGGACACACTAAAGAGAAACCATGTCAATGCAAACTGTGGCAAAGCTTTCATTTGTTCCAGTTCTTGTCAGAGACATGAAGAGACACATTCCGTTAATATACATTCAATTATCCCAATCCCTTTGAAACAGAAAAAGAGTAGGGAAAGGACCTCTGAGATAATTGATTTCTGAGTTGAGAAGAGCTGCCTCTGAAGGGACAATTAAAGTGATGTATTTAGATGGTTTTTATGCAATTCACCAATAGCCAATCTTAATGAGATTTCATTAAACAGCACCTTGAAAAATGCACTGCAAAAAAAAATGGATTTCATAGGCACAGACAAGGAAGGTATCAGTCACGTATTAGAGGAACCACACAGAGCAGTGTGTGGCCACCTGCTTCAGCCCATTTTTTATCATTATTTTGCTAACAAATAAGAGTATTCTCCAAATCCCTTGATTTTCCTTTTCTCAGAGTTGTAGTTCTCTAGAGATATTGCCAGATGCTTCACATTAAAGGTACATTTCCAGTTGGCGTTTTAAAATTTCGTGTATTAGAAATTGGTTACCAGAGAACTAATTAAAACTGTCATGGTTGGAAATACTCTGATGCTGAACTCCCTAATCTATACATTGAGTTAAGGTCTATACTCTGTTGCAAGCATTGTTCTTTTTTTTTTTTTTTGAGGCAGTCTTGCTGTGTTGCCAGGCACCAGGCTGGAGTGCAGTGGTGCAATCTCGGCTTACTGCGACCTCTGCTTCCTGGGTTCAAGCAATTCTCCTGCCTCAGCCTCCTGAGTAGCTGGGAATACAGGCACATGCCACCACGCCCAGCTGATTTTTTGTATTTTGGTAGAGATGGGGTTTCACCATGTTGGTCAGGATGGTCTCGGTCTCTTGACCTTGTGATCGACCTGCCTTGGCCTTCCAGAGTGCTGGGATTACAGGTGTGAGCCACCCCACCCGGCCTGCAAGCATTGTTCTGCTTGCAATGACTGTTCTCAATTCATTCTGACAGTTAACTATACTGCCCTGAAAACCAACTAGTGCTGGGGACTTGTATCTCTCCTGCATTTTGTAGTGACTGGTGTCACCCAGGACTTTCATGTGAGGAAAAGCACCTTGCTCTTATCTGGGAATTTTGAGTGATTTTTTTTTTTTGTAATGCCTCAGTTTATTTTTATTTATGGTTGATTATATGTGATTAAGAACACTTGCTATTTATGTCTGAACCCACAAATCAGTTGCAACAGCACCAAGTTTTATGTAAGAGGTGTAGTAATTACAAATGTGAACCTAAGTTACATTCTCTTTACATGTCTCCCTTTCTATAGGTCTCTCTTTTGTTTTTTGAGACGGAGTTTTGCTCTTGTTACCCAGGCTGGAGTGCAATGGCGAGATCTCAGCTCACCGCAACCTCTGCCTCCTGGGTTCAGGCAATTCTCCCGCCTCAGCCTCCTGAGTAGCTGAAATTACAGGCACGCGCCACCATGCCCAGCTTATTTTTTGTATTAGTAGAGATGGGGTTTCACCATGTTGACCAGGATGGTCTCAATCTCTTGACCTCATGATCCACCCGCCTCGGCCTCCCAAAGTGCTGGGATTACAGAGGTGAGCCACCGCACCCGGCCTAAACCTTTTACTTAAGGCATATGTCAGACCCTGGTCAAAGTAATACAAAAAAGGTATACACAAAAATTGTTTTAACTCCAAAAGGTGGAATGTAACTCTTGGAGAACTTCTCCAGTAAGTAAACTCAGGTGTTATACAGGAAGGAAAGAACTGTTGCCACTGGTAAATTGTTCATAGCTCTCACTTTCCTCATGGGTTTTTTTTTTTTTTTTTGAGACGGAGTCTCACTCTTGTCACCCAGGCTGGAGGGTATTAGCACAATCTCTGCTCGCTGCAACCTCCACCTCCTGGGTTCAAGCAATTCTCCTGCCTCAGCCTCCCAAGTAGCTGGGACTACAGCATGCGCCACCACACGTCATTAATTTTGTATTTTTAGTGGAGACGAGGTTTCACCATGTTTGCCAGGCTAGTCATGAACTTCTGACCTCAGGTGATCCACCTGCCTCTGCCTTCCAAAGTGCTAGGATTACAGGTGTGAGCCACCATGCCTGGCCAGGATATTAATTTTTAAAGTCTCCCTCTGTCACCAAGGTTGAAGTGCAGTGGTGCAATCATAGTTAACTGTAGCCTTGAACTCTTGGGCTCCTCCAGCCTCAGACTTCTTAGTAGCTGGGGACACAAGTACTTGCCACCACACTTGGCTAATTTTTGTCTTATTGGTAGAGACGAGGTTTTGCCATGTGGCCCAGACGAGTCTTGAACTCCTGTGCTCAAACAGTCCTTGTGCCCTGGCCTCCCAAAGCGCTGGGATTATAGTTGTGAGGCATTTTGCCCGGCCCTGCCTCAGCCTCTTAAGTAGATAGAAGTTATAGGCACAGGCCACCTCAGCCAGCTAATTTTTAAAACTATTTTAAAATTTTATTTTAGTAGCTTTTTTTAAAGACAGGGTCTTACTCTGTCACGTAGGCTGGAGTGCAGTGGCAGGATCATGGCTCATTGCAGCCTCAACCTCCCTGGGCTCAGGTGATCTGATCTCACCCTTCCAAGTGGCTGGGACTACAGGCATGTGACACCACACGCAGCTAATGTTTGTAAAGACAGGGTTTTGCCTTGTTGTCCAGGACAGTCTCGAGCTCTGTGTTGCTAGCACTCCTCCCACCTTGCCATCCTGCAGTCCTGGACCACAGGTTTCAGCCGTGGTACTTGGCCTCCCAGGTAGTTGTATCCACAGTCCCTCCCTGCAGGTAACACTGCAAATAACCTGTAGGTGGCAGCAGAGGCTGAGGGCAGTGATCACTTTTAGGCCAGTATGGAGGCCTCAGAGGGAGGGAAATGGAGCTCCCTTGGGTGCTTCCTGGGTGGCCCAACCTCTTCTGCAAGTGGCCTCCAGCTGCTCAAAGCTGCTCCAGAAGCAGTATGCAGAGGCCTGGAAAGCAGGAGACTCATGTGCAGATGCCCTTGAGGGGTGCTGTCCTTTCTGTGGTTGGACTTCTGGAGCCTGGGGCCATATCTGGGGATAGTGTTTTGATTTTTGACATGCACAGGGTCCCTGGCATCAGACAGTAATCTGTATATATGAAGGAAACCTGTGAAGGTCAGGTTTACAGACAATTGTTTGGGACCTCACCTGGAAAAACCGTTTATGAAGTTGTCTGTTTAGCTCAGAAGCTTAGACTGCTACCTGTTAAGAGTTTCTGGCTGGTGAATATGAAGGTCTGGAAGGAGGGGACTGGGGGTCTGGGAGAAGGCCTTGGCCACGTCTCATCCCTGGTCGCCACTTTCTGAAGGACACCTGCCTCTCCCTCCTGATCCAATCTTGCCTGGCCTGGTCTTGGTTCCCCTCTGGCTCTGAGGTGATGAGATTGCTCCACTGCACAGAATCTGTAATTCCCACCACACACTTGAAACCCAATGCAGAACAAAGGAGCAGGAACAGCCCTTTGAATGAGGAAGATGATCATAACCTGTCAAAAAATCAGGAGCAAATTTCACTAAAATGAAAATATCCAACGAGCAAGTTGTAGGGAGGGAGCTCTGCAGGTCGGGTTACCCAGGGCTTCTATTGTCACTCCAGGGTGAGGGGATGGGGCCTGGACCCCCATCCAGTCAGGAAGGCTGGGGTGGGCCCTGCCAACTGTACATCCTGGGAAGGTGGGGATGCATTCCCGCTCTCACCTTGGTGACAGTGCCCACTGAGGTTGGGATCTGGTCTTTCCAGCTGTGAGAGGGACAGGGTCCCTCTACCACAACTGTTGCCTGCGCTGTGACCTTCACTAGTCACGGGAACCCTAGAGAGGAAGTCGGGACACCTGAAAGCTGGGAAATGGTGAGTGTTCGGGGCCAGCGACCCGAGACCAGGGAGGGGCTGGTTGGAAATGGCCAGAACTGGCAGTGGTGGGACCCCAGGCTCCCTGCATGCAACGTCAGGGTTTGGGACCCAAGTTCTCCTGGTGCAGCTTGGCCCTCAGTCCCCTTGTCTGCAGGATGGAATTGGGCCAGCAGCCGCGACCCCTGGCATCCTGTCCTATCCCTGCCTGGTGACTGTGGCCCCGGAGCCTTTTCTGGGCAGCTCTGTGCCCAGATTATACCAGGGTCACATGTGACATGAGAGTCCTGTCTTGTCTGGGGGCTTGTGTGGGAGGCGCTGCAGTCCTTGGGGTCCCCAGTACATTTCATTCCTGTTAAAAAACTGAGGAGCTTCTTCTGGGTTGCTGAACACATGGCGATGCTGAGATGGTAGGGCACCCAGAGAGAGCAGGGAGGCTCTGTATCCCCCACCCCACATCTTTTTCTATGATTTTCATCATCTGGCTGTTCATCTATATCCTTTGTAATGTCCTTTATAATATATAGGTAAAAAAAATTAAACGGGGGCAGTTAAAAATTAAAGAGTTTGAGCATATGGTGATTTATGAATGAGAATCACCCAGTCATGGTTTGTGGTTTTCAGAAAAATTTAGAATTGCATTTTAGTTGTAGTTCGGTTCCTTAGAACCCAGGTGCACTAGAAGTACTTCAGTCCAGTTGCTGCTTTTAATTTCTTCAACACTGTCCGTGGGGAGAAGCAGTATGGATGTCAACAATGTGGTAAAGCCTTCCCCCATCCCATTTCCTTTCAGGTACACAAGAAAACTCACACAGGGGAGAGGCTGTATGAATGTAACATAGGTATGGAAAGTTTTCCATAGTACCAGATCCTTTCCTAGACATGAAAAGGAGTCAAACTGGCAAGAAGCCTTATGAATTATGAAGGTAAGAAATGTGGAAAAGCTTTCATTTATTTCATTTCCTTTGAATGTCATGAAAGAATTCACAGTGGAGAGAAACTATTGAGTGTTAAGCAATGTGGTAAAGCCTTCCTTTTTTTTTTTCTTCTCTTTTGAGACAGAGTCTTGCTCTGTCTCCCAGGCTGGAGTGCAGTGGAGTGATCTTGGCTTGCTGCAATCTTCATCTCCCAGGTTCAAGCAATTCTCCTGCCTCAGCCTCTGGAGTAACTGGGAGTACAGGCGCGCGCCACCACACCCAGCTAACTTTTGTATTTTTAGTAGAGATGGGGTTTCACCATGTTGGTCAGGCTGGTCTCGAACTCCTGACCTTGTGATCTGCCCAACTTGGCCTCCCAAAGTGCTGGGATTACAGTTGTGAGCCACCACACCTGGCTCAAGCCTGCCTTTTTCAGTTTGATTCAGTATCATGAAAGGACTCACTGGAGAGAAACGTTATGAATGTAAGAAATGTGAGAAAGCCTTCCGATCTACCTCACACCTTCAAATACATGGAAGGACCCACTAGACAAAAACGCTATGAATATAAGCAACACATAGATATTGCTGACTGGCAGGTTCTGGGTCCATGTGTCACATGACACTTTTGTTTTACATTTCTTATTGCCTGGTGTTGACTTGGTACTGAGATGGTAATAAAGAGATTCTCTAGGTTGGGTGTGGTGGCTCATGCCTGTAGTCCCAGCACTTTGCACTCCAGCCTGAACAACAAGAGTGAGTCTCCGTCTCAAAAAAAAAAAAAAAAAAAGGGAGATTCTAAATGTTTCTTTTACATTACTGATTTGAACTAGCCGGGCATGGTGGCGCATGCCTGTAATCCCAGCTACTCGGGAGACTAAGGCAGGAGAATCGCTTGAACCTGGGAGGGGGAGATTGTGTTGAGCCAGGATTGCCCATTGCACTCCAGCCTGGGCAACAAAAGTGAAACTCCATTTAAAAAAAAAAAAAGAGAGAATAAAAATGAGTTTGATTTAGAATTCCAACTGAGGACTATAGAGCAATATCCATAACCTAGGAGCAGTTTTGTCTCACTGCTCCCACACAGTATTTTAGTTCAGCTCATGTACAGAGGGTGAGGATTCATTATGTGAAAAATCACATCTAAGTTTGGGTGCAAGAGTACATCTGGACATAGTTCAGAGAGGCAAAATCACTAACACCATCAGATATTATCTTATGTGTTGTGAAATTAGCTAATTCCTCAGACCAAACCCTGGGCACAGGCATCTGGGATTACTGGCATCTGCCACCATGCCCAGCTAATTTTTTTTTTTTTTTTTTTTTTTTTTTTGAGATGGAATCTCACTCTGTCATCAGGCTGTAGTACAGTGGTGCGATCCCAGTTCACTGCAACCTCTGACTCCCAGGTTCAAACAATTCTGCCTCAGTCTCCCGAGTAGCTGAGATTTCAGGGGTGCCACCTTGTAACCTCTGACTCCCAGGTTCAAATAATTCTCCTGCCTCAGCCTCCTGAGTAGCTGAGATTACAGGGGTGCCACCATGCCCCGCTAATTTTTTGTATTTTTAGTAGAGATGGGGTTTCACTGTTGTTCAGGATGGTCTTGATCTCCTGACTTCATGATCCACCCACCTTGGCCTCCCAAAGTGCTGAGATTACAGGTGCGAGCCACTGTGCCTTACCTCATGGTTCTTTATTTTAAATAATAACTTTATAATCTTGCTTAACTATACTTTTGAGTGTTACACTTTTCTTTCCTGATCTATGTCCAAAACAGAAGTCTCAATAACATGTAAAGATGCAGTGTATTAAGCAAAAGTGGAAGATATGAGGCTATTTCAGATAGATTCATATGCTGCAATCTTGCAGTGGTGTATGGTTAACATAGGAAAATTAGGCCATTGGGGTGACTTAGCTCAGGTTGTGCTAATGAAACGCCATGGGCTGAGTTTCTCAATCAGCAGACTTTTCTTTTTACATTTCTGCAGCATGAGCTATCTAAAATCTAGCTGCCAGGCAGTATGATTCCCAGTGAGCACCAAGTTCATGACTGGGATATAGACACCTTGCTATACCCTCACGTGGAAGAAAGAGTGAGTGTTTTCTCCCTCTTCATTGGAAATCACTAATGTCATCGTGAGAGTCCAACCTTGTGACCTTATGTAACCCAAATTATTTCCTGAAGTGCTCATCTTCAAATGCCATCATGTTGCAGTATAGATTCAAAGTATGAATTTGGTGGGGGACTAAATTCAATACACAGTAAGGGCTACAAGAAAGAAGTTCCTAGAAGAGGCTCTGGGCCCATACATGCAGATAAGGCTGTATAGACTGCCAGATGGTGAGCATGTTCAACAGAGGTATAATTTTAGAGTGCCAGAGAGAAGTCACAGATAGCTATATACTAGCATTCAGGGGCCAGCCATAGTGGCTTATGCCTGTAATCCTAGTTTTCTGGGAGGCCGAGGCGGACAGATCACTTAAGGTCAGGAGTTTGACACCAGCCTGGCCAGTATGGTGAAACCCTGTCTCTACTAAAAATACAAAAAATTAGCCAGGCATGGTGGCACATGCCTTAGTCCCACCTACTCGGAAGGATGAGACATGAGCATCTCTTGAACCCAGGAGGTGGAGGTTGCAGTAAGCCAAGATTGCATCACTACATTCCAGCCTGGGCGACAAGAGTGACACTGTCTCAGAAAAAAAGCCAGGGGCGGTGGCTTACATCTGTAATCCCAGCATTTTGGGAAGCCAAGGTGGGCAGATGACCTGAGATCGGGAGTTCCAGACCAGCCTGACCAACATGGAGAAACCCTGTCTCTACTAAAAATACAAAAGTTAGCTGGGCGTGGTGGTAGGCGTCTCTAATCGCAGCTATTCGGGAGGCTGAAGGCAGGAGAATTGCTTGAACCCAGGAGGCGGAGACTGCAGTGAGCTGACATCGTGCCATTGCATTCCAGCCTTGGCAACAAGAGTGAAACTCCATCTAAAAAAAAAGTCAAAACCAACCAAACAAAAGCATGTAGAAAATAAACTGATACCAGGCACACTACATAGAAAATAATGAGAAAGGCTGGACATGGTAGCTCATGCCTATAATCCCAGCACTTTGGGAGGCCAAGGCGGGCAGATCACCTGAGACTGGGAGTTCGAGACCAGCCTGACCAACATGGGGAAACCCCATCCCTAATAAAAATACAAAATTAGTCGGGTGTGGTGGCATAGGCCTGTAATCCCAACTACTCGCTCGGGAGGCTGAGGCAGGAGAATTGCTTGAACCCAAGAGAAGCAATTGTGGTGAGAAGAGATTGTGTCACTTCACTCCAACCTGGCGACAGAGCAAGACTCTCAAAAAAAAAAAAAAAAAAAGAAAAAGAAAAAAATAGGGCCAGGTGTGGTGGCTCACACCTGTAATCCCAACACTTTAGGAGGCCAAGGCAGGTGGATCATGAGGTCAAGAGATGGAGACTATCCTGGTCAACATGGTGAAACCCTGTCTCTACTAAAAATACAAAAATTAGCTGGGCATGGTGGCACGCGCCTGTAGTCCCAGCTACTCAGGAGGCTGAGGCAGGAGAATTGCTTGAACCCAGGAGGCGGAGGTTGCGGTGAGCTGAGATCACGCCATTGCACTCCAGCCTAGGTAATGAGCGAAACTCCGTCTCAAAAAAAAAATAATAATAATAATAATAATGAAAATAGGGCTGTGAGAATGGAAACAATGCTTTTTAGCAACCACAATCTCAGTGGAAGCTATGAATTAGAAATTTTTTTAATTTCTTTTTTTTAATCATCTAGCCCAAAATGTCAAAATTAGAAATTCTTAAGGCTGGGCACAGTGGTTTGCTTCTGTAATCACAACACTTTGGGAGGCCCAGGAAGCTGGACTGCTTAAGCTCAGGAGTGTTTTTTGTTTTTTTTTTTTGAGATGGAGTTTCACTGTTGTTACCCAGACTGGAGTTCAATGGCACAATCTCGGTTCATCGCAACCTCCGCCTCCTGGGTTCAAGCAATTCTCCCGCCTCAGCCTCCTGAGTAGCTGGGACTACAGTTACACACCACCATGCCCAGCTAAGTTTTGTATTTTTAGTAGAGACGGGGTTTCACCTTGTTGACCAGGATGGTCTCAATCTTTTGACCTTGTGATCCACCTGCCCTGGCCTCCCAAAGTGCTGGGATTATAGGCATGAGCCACCGCACCTGGCCAAGCTCAGGAGTTTGAGACCAGCCTGGGTAACATGGTGAAACCCTGTCTCTCTACAAAAAATACAAAAATTAGCTGGGTGTGGTGGGGTGCACCTGTAGTCCCAGTTACTTAGGAGGCCAAGGTGGGAGGATGGCTTAAGCCTAGAAGGCAAAGGTTGCAGTGAGCAGAGATCACACCACTGCTCTTCAGCCTGGGCAAATTAACCAGCCTGTCTCATTTAAAAAAAAAAAAAAGTTATTTTATGATTGGAACTATGTCTTCAACATCTTTCTTGCCACACACTTTAAAAAGCTATTCAGCGAACACTGGAGAAATGAGCATGCCAAAACTTGTCATGAGACAACATCTGAGTCTGAACACACCTAGAAACTTAAGCTTATTTACCTTATGAATGAACATACCATATATATCCTTTATTCAGACATGATACCCATGAAAAAAATGGTAAGGTGCTTTGAAAACTTATGCTGGAATGGAGGCAGTGGCTGACACCTGTAATCCCAGCACTTTGGGAGGCCAAGGTGGGCAGATCACTGGAGATCAGGAGTTGGAGACCAGCCTGGCTAAAATGGTGAATGAAACACCGTCTCTACTAAAAATACAAAACAATTAGTCATGGCGCTAGACGCCTGTAATCCCAGCTACTTGGGAGGCTGAGGCAGGAGAATCGATTGAACCTGGAAGGCGGAGTTTGCAATGAGCCTGGGCGACAAGAGTGAAACCCCTTCTAAAGAAAACATAAAAACTTATGGTGGGACAAAAGTCACAATCAAGGACTGAATTTGGGAAACCAGAACATATGCTCAGATAATTTTTTTTCCTTGAGACAGAGTCTCGTCCTCTTGCACAGGCTGGAGTGCAGTGGTGCAGTCTTGGCTCACTGCAACCTGTGCCTCCCAGATTCAAGTGATTCTCCTGTCTCAGCCTCCTGAGTAGCTGGGACTACAGGTATGTGTCATCACACCTGACTAATTTTTGTATTTTTAGTAGAGACAGTGTTTTGCCATGTTGGACAGGCTGATCTCAAACTCCTGATCTCTGGGGATCTGCCTGCCTTGGCCTCCCAAAGTGCTGGGATTACAGGCATGAGCCACCACAACCAGCCTGGTCAGATAATTTCTGAGACAGTTTTATACCTTTTATGAGGATAGGTAACCTTGGCACCAGGGACCAGTTTCATGGAAGAAAATTTTTTCACAGAATGGGGCAGGAAGATGGTTTTTGGATGAAACTTCCAACTGAGATCATCAGGCATTAAATTCTCATAAGGAATATGCAACCTAGATCCTTCACATGTGCAGTTCACAACAGGGCTCTCGCCCCTATGAAAATCTAATGCCGTTGCTGCTATGACAGGAGGCAGAGTTTAGGCAATAATGTTCACTCAGCTCGGCTTACCTCCTACCAGGCTACGGGCAGGTATCCGTCTGTAGCCTGAGGTTTGGGGACACATTACTTAGAGGACACTCAGGTAGTGTTCAGTGCAGAATGGATGGCTTGTTTGCTGTGTGAGAAAATCCTCCACATATTTGGTCACAAAGGCATCGTATTATGTGAATGCACAGGAAAAGCATTTTGAGATTTTCCACTTTAGTGTGTGGATGTTAATGCCACCCTCACCATAAGAGGAAGTTTTATTGACTTTGCTTTTATCAAAGAAAATGGCTCAAAGAACTTACCCAGAGTATTTTATTTTTTGAGATAGGGTCTTGCTCTGTTGCCCAGGCTAGAGTCCAATGCACAGTCTCAGCTCATTTCAACCTCCACTTGCTGGGTTGAAGTGATTCTCCTGCTTCAGACTCCCAAGTAGCTGGGATTACAGGCACATGCCACCATGCCTGGCTAATTTTTATACTTTTAGTAGAGACAGTTTCACCATGTTGGACAGGCTGGTCTTGAACTCTTGACCTCAAGTAATCCGTCTGCCTTGGCCTCTGAAAGTGCTGGGATTACAGGCATGAGCCACCGTGCCTGGCCCCTGGAATATTTTTTAACATAGGGTATAACCATTGGTGAAAATAAAGGTAAAATTTTTAAAAACAAAAAATAAAGGTAACACTTAAATTTGGACTCATTTAGATGGTATAAGTTTTCTACCTTGTTAAGACAACAATCAACCCTGTGAACCTTGATTGGATTTTCCAGATTCTGACAAGCATGTTGAAACACACCAAATGAAATAGGAATAATAGGTTAGAGAGTGTGCCCTTGAATTTCAAGTTGGGGTGGGGGGGGGAAGACAGTACCCTGAGGAGGTGACATTTGTACTGAGAACCAAAATGATGTATTAGTATAGGAAGTCAGAGGAGAGGATTCTGGGAGGATGGCAGAATACGAAGTATCAAACAGAAACTGTAGGAACCCCCTCCCCCGCCTTTTTTTTTAAGACAGAGTTTCGCTCTTGTTGTCCAGGCTGGAGTGCAGTGGTGTGATCTTGGCTCACCACAACCTTTGCCTCCTGGGTTCAAGAGATTCTCCTGCCTCAGCTTCCTGAGTAGTTGGGATTTCAGGCATGCACCACCATGCCCGGCTAATTTTGTATTTCTAGTAGAAACAGGGTTTCTCCATGCTCCGGCTGGTCTCAAACTCCCAACCTCAGGTGATACGGCCACCTTGGCCTAAAGTGTTGGGATTACAGGCATGAGCCACTGAGCCCACCCAGGAAGCCATTTTTGGGTACTGAATTCCTCTACTGGGCCCTCAGAAACCAGACCAACCCCTATCATTAGGAAATTACATCTAGACAATTGTCATTGCCCCATACATTACAAAGAATGTTCAATAAACAATGGTTTGAGAAGTGAGCACAGTCCAATCTTTGGGTAAGCCAGGTAGAGATGTAAAAAAAAAAACAACAAACGAAAACTGTCCTTAGCAAACCAAGTTTTCTTTTTCTGGTTTTTGAGATGGAGTCTTGCTCCATCACCCAGTCTGGAGTGCAATGGCGCAGTCTTGGCTCACTGCAACTGCCATCTCCCAGGTTCAAGCAATTCTCCTGCCTCAGCCTCCTGAGTAGCTGGGATTAGAGGCATCCACCAGCACGCCTGGCCAATTTTTGTATTTTCAGTAGAGACAGGGTTTCACCATGTTGGCCAGGCTGGTCTCAAACTCCTGACCTTGTGATCTGCCCACCTCACATCCCAAAGTGCTGGGATTACAGTTGTGAGCCACAGCGCCCAGCCAGCAAATCAAGTTCTGTGGTCACATGATGTTTGAGGCAGTTCTGCATATCCTAAGAAGGCCTTATTGGAGTTGTTGTGTATCTTTGCCAAGAGATTACTGCACAGCAGAGGTCATTATTCCAACTCTGTGCCATTTAATTGTTCACCAGCTGCCACAGGTCTATCTGTGTACACCTGAGTTGCTTGAGTGATTTTCAAGAAACGAATTCAACTTTCATTGCAGCGTTGAATTTCTCTATATACCTTTTATTGATTATTTTGACCATGGGCTGACCAATATCATAAGTGAAAGATTTAAAAGGCCTTAGAGGAGCCAGGCATGGTGGCTCATGCCTGTGATCCCAGCACTTTGGGAGGCCGAGGCAGACAGATCACCTGAGGCCAGGAGTTTGAGACTAGTCTGGACAACATGGTGAAACCCCAATTCTACTGAAAACACAAAAATTAACTGGGCATGGTGGTGCTCGCCTATAGTCCCAGCTACTTGGGAGGTTGAGACATGAGAATGGCTTAAACCCAGGAAGAGGAGGTTGCAGTGAGCGGAGATCGTGCTACTGCAATCCAGCCTAGGCAACAGAGCGAGATCTGTATCTAAAAAAAGGCCTAGAGGAAGGAAAGTAAATGTAAATAATGTGAAAAACAATATAACTTCACATTTGAAATATATAATTTTTAGAAATAAAATTTAGCGATGCTGCAAAATAAACTGAGGACTGTAATTGTATAAATTACAAGCTTCTGAGAAAAACCACATTTTCAACCTAAATACACTGATCTTAGAGGATTTTTCCTTTGCTTTTCGACCTTGTTTTATGAAAAAGTACAAAAATAAGACATGAATAGTCAAAAGAAGAATTTCAGCTGGGCATGATGGCTCACGCTTGTAATCCCAGCACTTTAGGAGGCCAAGGCAGGTGAATCACTTGAGGTCAGGAGTTCAAAACCAGCATGATCAACATGGTGAAACCCCTCTCTACTAAAAATATAAAAATTAGCCAGGCATGGTGGCAGGCACTTGTAATCCCAGCTACTTGGGAGGCTGGGGCAGGAGAATTGCTTGAACCCAGGAGGCAGAGGTTGCAGTGAGCCAAGATCAGACCACTGCACTCCACCCTGGGTGACACAGCAAGACTCCATCTCAAAAACCAAAAAGAATTTTCATATCTCACAAATCAAGGTATTTTCCAAGTCATCACACATAGTTAAGGTTTGGCCAGTGATTTTTCTGTGTCTGCTGGGACCTGGAGTTTTACTCTAGGGAGACTCAAATAAGCATTTGTGAAGAGGAACACCCTTGGCACCTTAAAAGAAATGGATTGGCTGAGGCGGGTGGATCACGAGGTCAAGAGATCGAGACCATCCTGGTCAAGATGGTAAAACCCCGTCTCTACTAAAAATACAAAAAATTAGCTGGGCATGGTGGCATGCGCCTGTAATCCCAGCTACTCGGGAGGCTGAGGCGGGAGAATTGCCTGAACCCAGGAGGCGGAGGTTGCAGTGAGCCAAGATCGCGCCATTGCACTCCAGCCTGGGTAACAAGAGCGAAACTCTGTCTCAAAAAAAAAAAAAAGAAGTGAATGTATATATTTTAACTGAGTTGTGTTATGGTAAACAATGTCTATACATTGTAGGGAATATATCAGGATTTAGAGAATAGCATGGCAAAAACCGGTCCAGAAGTCTGATGGTTGGCTTCCCTTCACCAGAAGGCTGAGTCTTCTGCCACTGAATAGACACGTCATACACCTGCAATGGGGGATGATGCTCCTCAGTGACCATGATGGATCAATACAAAAATAACTAATTCTTTAACCATGTCTTGAAATGTGACAGAAGAAAACATTTATTTATTTTTTTCTTTTTTTGAGACGGAGTTTCGCTCTTGTTACCCAGGCTGGAGTGCAATGGCGCGATCTCTGCTCACCGCAATCTCTGCCTCCTGGGTTCAAGCAATTCTCCTGCCTCAGCCTCCTGAGTAGCTGGGATTACAGGCACGCACCACCATGCCCAGGTAATTTTTTGTATTTTTAGTAGAAATGGGGTTTCACCATGTTGACCAGGATGGTCTTGATCTCTTGACCTCGTGATCCACCCGCCTCGGCCTCCCAAAGTGCTGGGATTACAGGCTTGAGCCACCGCGCCCGGCCCAATAAACAGATTTCTAAAATACATGAACAGAAGTCTTTGTTGCCAAGAAATCACATGGTGTTTTTATTTTTATTATTTATTTATTTATTTTAGTTACGTATATTCATACAAAATTAAAAATGAAGTGAGACATCACATTCAGTAGTGAATAATATGAAACACTTGAAATTTCCTGATAAGAGCAATGTGGCTCTTCTCACACAAAAGCCCTTGGTGAGAACAGTCACTGTACAATGCAACAGAGGAGCAAGCTTCCATCTAAGTTGGTTTAATCAAGAACAGGGTCACTACCTGTAGAAACAACAGTGCTTGCAATACAAAGTAGACCTTAAATTGTTTAACTCAGTCTATGGAACAGTTGAGCATTCGAGAGTATTTCCAACCATAACAGATATATTAGTTCTCTGGTAAACATTTAAAAATTTCTGAAGAAATAGCAAAGTGGGCATGTATCTTCAATGTGGAGCACGTGGGGACATCTCTGGAGACCTACAACTCTGAGGAATCGAGACAAGTGATTTGGGGGATACTCTCCATTAACAATCAGGAAAATGGGCCGGAAGCAGGTAGCCACGTACCTCTCTCCCTGTGTGGTGCCTCTAATATATGACTGATACCTTCCTCTTCTGTGCCTTTGAAATCTCAAAGATTGGCTATAGGTGAATTGTATTACAAAACCATCCAAGTCCTGGATTTTATTGTCCTTTTGCAGGTCTCTCAACTCAAAAGGCAATTATCCAGAAGTTCTTTCACCACTCTCTCTTCTCATCTTTCAAAGGAAGTAGGACAACAGAAAGCTCCCATTTCTTCCACTAATAGGATTTCTCATACATTAGTGGTATGAGTTCTTTCATGTTCTCGACATGAACTGGCACGAATAAAGGCTTTGCCACATTGCTTGCATTGATAGGGTTTCTTTCCAGTGTGAGTCCTTTCATGATATCGAATGTAATTGGAAAAAAAGGCCTTACCACAGTGCTTACATTCATAGGGTTTCTCTCCAGTGTGAGTCCTTTCATGATATCGAATGGAACTGGAACAAGTGAAGGCTTTGCCACATACCTTACACTCATGGCTTATCTCCAGTGTGTGTCCTTTCATGTATATGCAAGGAAGAGAAATATCTGAATGCTTTTCTGCACTGCTTACATTCATGGGGCTTCTCCCCAGTGTGCATCATTTCATGTATACGCAAGGAAGAAAAATACTTGAATGCTTTTCCACATTCCTTACATTCATGGGGTTTCTCTCCACTGTGTGTCCTTTCATGCATTTGAAGTTGTGAGGCATATCGAAAGCCTTTCCCACACTGCTTAAAACCATAGGGTTTATCTTCAGTGTGTCTTTCCATGCCGTTGAAGGTCTGAGGTACTCCTGAAGGCTTTACCACGTTGCCTACATTCATAGGGTTTCTCTCCAGTGTGATTCCTTCCATGCTTTTGAAGGTGTGAGCCACATCTAAAGGCTTTTCCACACTGCTTACATTCATAGGGTTTCTCTCCAGTGTGAGTCATTTTATGATATTGAATGGAACTGAAAGAAATGAAGACTCCCACATTGCTTACACTCATAGGGTTTTTCTCCAGTGTGAGACCTTTTATGTCTACAGATTTCACAAGGAAAACTGAATGTGTTCCCACATTTCTTACATTCGTAGGCTTTCACTCCTATGTGAGTTCTTTCATGTATTTGAAGGGTAGAGCAACGAGTAAAGGCTTTACCACATTGTTTACACTCATATGGTTTCACACCACTGTGAATTCGTTCATGGATAAGGCATAAACTGAGAAAATAGAAGGCTTTCCCACAGTAATTGCATTTATTTATTTATTTTTTAATTTTTTATTGCATTTTAGGTTTTGGGGTACATGTGCAGAACATGCAAGACAGTTGCATAGGTACACACATGGCAGTGTGTTTTGCTTCCTTTCTCCCCTTCACCCATAATTACATTTATAAGGTACATCTCCACTGTGCATTCCCCTGTGTCTTTGAATGCATGAATGGGAAATGAAGGTTTCTGCACATACTTTACCATCATAGGGTTTCTCTTTAGTGCAAGCTCTATCATGTGATTGAAAGGAGTCAAGATAACTGAAGACTTGCTTACATTGCTTATTTCTTTATGGATTCTCTTCATATTCCTGATACTGATACAACTTGTGTCCAGTGTCAGCTCTGATATGCCTATTAAGAGATGAATGACCCATGCCAACTTCTCTCCAGGAAGAGTTTTCTTGTTCAGCATGTCATCTGCAACCCGGTTGAAGCTTTCTCCACAGTGATTACTGTCTTTAGTTTCAAAGAGTTTCTCTTTAATAAGAAGACTTCAGTGAAAAATGAGAAGCATATTGTTAAGGGTTTGATTAAAAGTGATTTATAGGGCCAGGCATGGTGGCTCATGACTGTAATCCCAGCACTTTGGGATGCCGCCGAGGTGGGTGGATCACCTGAGGTCAGGAATTGGACCTCATGGCCAACATGGTGAAACCTCGTCTCTACTAAAAATACAAAAATTAGCTGGGCATGGTGGTAGGTGCTTATCCCAGCTACTCGGGAAGCTGAGGTGGGAGAATTGTTTGAACCCAGGAGGTGGAGGTTGAAGTAAGCCAAGATGGTGCCATTGCACTCTAGTCTGGGTGACAAGAGCGAAACTACATCTCAAAAAAAAAGTTTTTTTTACAGTGACTTATATTGGCTGGGTATAGTGGCTCATGCCTGTAATCCCAGCACTATTGGCTGGTTATAGTGGCTCACGCCTGCAATCCCAGCACTTTGGGAGGCTGAGGCAGCCAGATCACTTGAGGCCAGGAGTTTGAGATCACCCTGCCCAACATGGCAAAATCCTGTCTCTACTAAAAAGACAAAAATTGGCTTGGTGTTATGGTGTACACCTGTAATCCCTACTACTTGGGATGCTAGGGCACTAGAATACCTTGGACCTAGGCAATGGCAGTTGCAGTAAGTTGAAACTACACCACTCCACTCAAGCCTGGGTGACAAAGTGGGACTCTTTGTCTCAAAAAAGAAGGAAAAAAGTGATTTATATTCATTAACATGTATTACACTTGCATTTTTGACACTGCCCAGCAAAGTGTCAGCTTTCTGCTCTGAATTATTTGAATATTAATGGACCATATGCTGTACAAGATGGCCTGGGTATATATATTATTTAAAAATTAATATTTCTATGGGGCTTCTTAATCCTATTTTCAAGTGAACTATTTTACAAATACTAAACATGTGCGTCTTTTTTTTTGAGTTGAGGTCTCAACTCACCCTGTCGTCCAAATTGGAGTGTAGTGGTACCATCATGGCTCACTATAGCCTCAAATTCCTGGCCTCCAGCAATCCTTTGGCCTGAACACCCCTGAAGGACTGTGATTTCAGGCATGAGCAATAGTGCCCAGCCCAACCTATCTTACATTTAAATATATGTTTTTAGGTCAATATTCTATGAATATATAAATTTGATACTGGGCCTATTTCTGTTGCTTCTTTTTTTTTTTGAGACAGTTTTGCTTGTTGCCCAGGCTAGAGTGCAGTGGTATGATTGATCTTGGCTCACCACAACCCCCGCCTCCCAGGTTCAAGTGATTCTCCTGCCTCAGTCTCTCCAGTAGCTGGGATAACAGGCATGTGCTACCACATCCAGCTAATTTTGTATTTTTAGTAGAGACAAGGTTTCTCCATGTTGGTCAGGCTGGTCTTGAACTCCTGAGCTCAGGTGATCTGCCCACTTTGGCCTTCCAAAGAGCTGGGATTACAGGCATGAGCCGCTGTGCCCAGCTCTTTTGCTTCTTTTTAATATTTTCTCACATTTTAAGATTTTCCAGAGACATTGCTTTGTCTTACAAGAGAAAATTACCTTATATTTCTCCTGGAATTTTTGTACATACCTTTGATGTCTTGGACTTTCCATGTTTTTCCTAAAACACAGACCCGGAAGAAACACAGATCCAGAATTAGTATGAATTTATTTATTTTTATTATTATTATTTTTGAAATGGAGTTTTGCTCTTGTTACCCAGGCCGGAGTGCAGTGGCACAATCTTGGCTCACCGCAACCTCCGCCTTCTGGGTTCAAGCAATTATTCTGCCTCAGCCTCCCGAGTAGCTGGGACTACAGGCGCACACCACCATGCCCAGCTAATTTTTGTATTTTTAGTAGATATGGGGTTTCCCCATGTTGACCAGGATGGTCTCGATATCTTGACTTTGTGATCCACCCGCCTCAGCCTCCCAAAGTGCTGGGATTATAGGCGTGAGCCACCGCACCTGGCCTTGAATTTATTTAAAAATCATTAGATTCTATATTCACGGTACATGGTAGCCCTGCCTGATTTATTAATCAAAGTATTTTCTGTCCATATTCCAAATCACTGAACAGCAGTGATGAGCTATAAATATTTGTTCTTTAATTCACTGGGAAGTAATATTGTCAACCTTACCTACAGAGGCCAGGTTCTTGAAGGTTTCCTTCATCACATCCCTGTAGAGATTCTTCTGTGAAGGATTCAGCAAAGCCCATTCCTCCTGGGTGAAGCTCACAGCTACATCCTCAAAGGCCACTGAATCCTGAAACATCTCACATATGTAAAGGAGGATGGGTAAGACTAATAGCCCTGGAGGCCTATACTTTCTTCGTAAGAAGTTCCTGTGATACTGTGGACTCCAAACATTTATCCCATGACTTCGTCATCACACCTCTTACTTTCTGTCTATACTTATGTCCTCCCACAAACCAAGTCCTTTTTTGTTAAGAGACAGGGTCTTGCTCAGGCCTTAGTGTACAGATATTGTCATGTATGACTGTAGCCTTGGACTCCTTGGCTTAAGTGATCCTTCTCCCCCAGCCTCCAGAGTAGCTGAGACTACAGGTGCTCACCACCATGTGTAGCTTCTTTTTTTCTTTTTTTAGTAGAGACAAGGTCTTCCTATGTTGCCGAGGTTGGTAATGAACTCCTGGGCTGAAGCAATCCTGCTGCCTTGGCCTCCCAAAATGCTAGGATTATAGGCATGAACAACCACATCCAGACACTCAACAAATGAATTTTTTTTTTTTTTGAGACGGAGGCTCGCTCTGCCACCAGGCTGGAGTACAGTGGCACAATCTTGGCTCACTGCAACCTCCAGCTTCCAGTTCAAGCGATTCTCTTGCTTCAGCCTCCCGAGCAGCTGGGACTACAGGCACATGCCACCACGCCCAGCTACTTTTTATATTTTTAGTAGAGACGGGGTTTCACCATGTTGGCCAGGATGGTCTCAATCTCTTGACCTCGTGATCCGCCCGCCTTGGCCTTCCAAAGTGCTGGGATTAAAAGGCATGAGCCACTGTGGCTGGGCCCTGAATTCTTATAATAGAAGTGAACTATGAGGTAAAGCAACAGCAGAATAGGAAAATGTGTTTTTCTGGTGAATCTAGTAAAAACCGCGTACCGCCTGGGCTGCCCCTACTGTCTCTTTATACTGTGGGTCTATAGCATCTCTCATGACAAAGTCCTACAAATTTTATGCAGAAAAATTAGCATTAGCAGTCCTGAGCCTGGGTATCCTTAAAAATACTGTTCACAAACTAACCATTGCTGGCATCTAGAAGGTAGATTTGGTTCTGATTCAAGCAGCAGAAACCAAAACAAAAGACCAAAAAAAAAAAGACTGGATTTTGCAAGGGGTTCCACCAACTGATCTGATAAGAATCACAACTAACTGAAACAGAAACCCATGAGCAGAAGCATTTATGGGAATGAGTACTGGAGTAGGAAAACCTAAATTGTAATTGATGAATTACTGAAGGCTGATTTCAGAGAAAATTTTGAACAAAAAAAAAAAAAAACAACTCCAAGAGGCCCAGTCTTAAGACAAAAGGCAAATATTTATTAAAATTAAAAATGTGTGTGGGCCAGGCACAGTGGCTCATGCCTCTAATTCCAGCACTTTGGGAGTTCGAGGCAGGTGGATCACCTGAGGTCAGGAGTTTGAGACCAGCCTGACCAACATGGTGAAACTTGGTCTCTACTAAAAAATGCAAAAAAATTAGCTGGGTGTGGTGGTGTATGCCTGTAATCTCAGCTACTCAGGAGGCTGAGGCAAGAGAATCACTTGAACCTGGAAGGCAGAGGTTGCAGTGAGCCGAGATTGTGCCATTGCAGTCCAGCCTCGGCAATATAGAGCGAGACTCCGCCTCAAAAAAAATTAGCTGGGCGTGGTGGCGCATGCCTGTAGTCCTAGCTACTGAGGAGGCTGAGGCAGAAGAATTGCTTGAATCTGGGAGGCAGTTTGCAGTGAGCTGAGAATTCACCACTGCACCAGCCTGGAGACAGAGTGAGACTCCATCTCAAAAAAAAAAAAAAAAAAAAGGAAAAACCTAAAGATATTCTGAGATGGTATCTGTGCCTTGTGAAGATAAGAAAGGAACGGGTTTTTCACTGGAGTATCAAGTGGTTATTCTCTATTTTCCTCTTATGAAATGTTCAGAAATAGAACACAAATATTTTATTTTATTATTTATCTATTTACTTATTTTGAGATGGAGTCTCAGTCTGTTGCCCAGGCTGGAGTGCAGTGGCATGATCTCAGCTCACTGCACCCTGCTCCTCCCGGGTTTAAGTGATTCTCCTGCCTCAGCCTCCTGAGTAGCTGGGACTACAGGCGCATGCTACCATGCCTGTATTTTTACTAGAAATAGGGTTTCACCTTGTTAGCCAGGATGGTCTCGATCTCCTGACCTCGTGATCTGCCTGCCTCAGCCTCCCAAAGTGCTGGAATTACAGGTGTGAGCCACCGTGCCCAGCTAGAACACAAATATTTTTTAAAAAGTCATTCATGACCCTGTGAAAAGATGATAAACCACTAAAATAGTGCATCTATGTTAAAGAAAGGATGATGAAATATACTCTACAATAAAGAGTTGATACAGGAGGCTGAGGCAGGAGAATTGCTTGAACCCGGGAGGTGGAGGATGCAGTGAGTTGAGATCATGTCATTGCATTCCAGCCTGGGCAACGAGCGAAACTGCATCTCAAAAAAAAAAAAGAAAGTTGATAATACTGTGAGTTGGAGAAGGGGAGTTAATGTTTGGAGATGTGGGAAAGAAATTGAAAATATAAGATGTTACTGCAAACCGTTGAGGAGTTAGGGTGGGGTAACAGGTCGTGGAGGATTTGAGACCCTGCATCCCATAGATTAGGAAAATGCAGGAGGAAACCAGTCTCCATAGACAGTGTGAACAAATTTAAAGCAGCAACAATTAGACTTAAGTGGGTTTATCACCATAAGGAACTACCTAAGGACACCAAAATCCAACTCAGATTGAGGCAGGATAATAGGGTCTGGAAGCAGAAAATGTAAGGCCCATTCACACTTCAGCTATGAAAGGAAATACCTTCTCCACAGGGCATAAGTCAAGTAAATAAATGACTTTGTAACTTTACTTCATCCTCTCCTTTTATATAGGGCATACCCCGAGTAACCAAGGGAACCCCCAGGGGGTAAACTCACAAAAATTCTCTAACGGTGCCTTTGAGCCCCTGTGCTCAGGCCTGCTCGCACACTGTGGAGTATTAAATCCCTTCATTCCTTGCTTGCTTTGTGCGTTTTGTCCAATTCTTTGTTCAAGACACCAAAAACCTGGACATCCTCCACTGTTAACAAAATGCTTAAAGTTTTCTGGTAACAAACCACAAATCATGACTGGGTGTTGCTCATTCATGAATGCTGTTTGCTCAAACTCTTTGATTTTTAACAGGAAGAAAGAACGTACAGAGAACCCCACACACCGCAGCTCCTCCCACACGAACCCAGCGGAATTTTTCCATGACCCTCCGGTCCCAGCAGAATCTGGGGAGACGCGGAGCTGCCCAGAGAGGGCTTTGGGGCCCGGGCCCACAGTTGCCCGCGCAGAGAAAGGGCAGGACAAGACAGGACGCCTGGGGTCCCGGCTGCCAGCCCAGCCCCACCCTGCGGCCAAGGGGACGGAGGGTCGAGCTGCGCAGGGGAGTTTGTGTCCCAGATCCGCGAGGCTCAGCAAGGAGGCCTAGGTCCCGTCACTGCCGCTTCCGGTCGGTTCCACCAAGCCCCTCCCCCGTCTAGGGACTCTGGCCCCACACACACACTCACCATCTCCGGGCTTCTGGGTGTCCCGGGGTCCTCCTAGGGCTCCAGTGAATAGAGCAGGTCACAGTGCAGCAGGCAACAGAGCGACAGAAGTTGTTGCAGAGGGACCCGGGGCCTCTTGGAGCAGGAAATCTGGGATGCCGACAACAACCTGCATAGCAACTAAAGTAGAAGCCGGAATGGGCCTCCTCCTTCCAGATGGACAGTGGGCCGCGCCCCGCCCCATCAGAACTGAGTGACGGCAGAAGCCCTGGGTAACTGGTCCTGCAGAGCCGCACTGATCAGTTCTAGCCACAGCCTCTCTAAGGGACAACTTTCCCCGAGCCCTGGTCGTTGGATATTTTCTTTTCAGTCAAATTTGCTCCAGATTTTTGGACAGGGCACTCTCTTCTTCCTCACTCAATGGGCTGTCCATACTTCATCCTGTACAGGGTCCTAAGTGTGTGCAGGGAATTCCAGACTCAGTGTCCAATGGAGCGATCTGCCGGCCTCAGAGCAGGAAGGGGAACCCAGACCAGGCCAGGTACGACTGCACCAGGAGGGAGAAGCAGTTCTCCTTCCGGGTGCCGGGATTGGGGATGAGACACGGCCAAGGCTTTCTCACACATCTCACCCCACCTCACAGCGTGGAAGCGCTCCCTCCTTCCAGACCTTCATCTTCATCAGCAGTAAACTCTGACTTGGTGATTTTAAGCTTCTGACTTAAACTGTCAACTTCATGAGGTCCCAAACAGTTCTTTCCCTGAACCTGATCTTCACAGGTTTTCTTGATATGCAAATTACATGTCAAACCCAAAACACTGCTCCTGAAAACGGCCCCGGATTCCAGATGTACAATCACAGAAAGAACAACTCCTCAAGTGCACTTGCACGTGGGTCTCCTGCTTTCCAGGGCGCTGCAGCATCTCAGAATCCACACTCCTGGATCTGCTCTGAGCAGCTGGAAGCCGCCTGCAGGGAAGGGCGGCTGTCCAGGAACCACCCAGGAGAGATCCACTTTCCTCGGCAGAATCCATACCCGCCTCCGCGTGCGGTCTGTGCTGCCCCCTGCAGGTTATTCACCTGCTTCTCATATCATTCAACAATTCCAAGACATCCTCAATCCCACAGTGTGAATGACACGAGCAGAGGGCCAGGTGCTGTGGCTCGCCTGTAATCCCAGCACTTTGAGTGGCCGAGGTGGGTGGATCACCTGAGGTCGGGAGTTTGAGACCAGCCTGACCAGCATGGAGAAACCCCGTCTCTACCAAAAAAAAAAAAAAAAAAAAAAAAAATTACAAAATTAGCCGGTTGTGGTGGCTCCTGCCTGTAATCCCAGCTACTCAGGAGGCTGAGGCAGGAGACTCACTTGACCCCGGGAGGTGGAGGTTGCAGTGAGCTGATATGCCATTTCACTCCAGCCTGGGCAACAAGAGTGAAACTCCATCTCAAAAAAACAACAAAAATAGCAAGCAGAGGGCTGGGTGCAGTGGCTGATGCCTGTAACCCTAGCACTTTGGGAAGCTGAGGTGGGCAGATCACAAAGGCCAGGAGTTTGAGACCAGCCTGGCTAACATGGTGAAACCTCATCTCTACTAAAGATATAAAAAATTAGGTCTCGTAGCCCGAGTCTGCAATCCCAGCTACTTGAGATCAGGAGGCAGAGGTTGCAGTGAGCCATTACACTCCACCCTGGGCAACATGGCAAGACTCTTCTCTCAAAAAAGAAAAAAGCTGGGCATGGGGGCTCACACCTGTAATCCCAGCATTTTGGGAGGCTGACGCAGGCAGATCACCAGAGGTTGGGAGTTCAAGACCAGCCTGACCAACATGGAGAAAGGCTGTCTCTACTAAAAATACAAAATTAGCCAGGCATGGTGGTACATGACTATAACCCCAGCTACTTGGGAGGCTGAGGCAAAAGAATCATTTGAACCCAGGAGGTGGAGGATGAGGTAAGCTGATATCCTGACATTGTACTCCAGCCTGGGCTACAAGAGCGAGAGTCTCAACAATAAATGCAAACATGAGCAGAGTCCCACTTCCAGTGTGCATTATACATAACGTCGGAAGCATCTAATTTTATTTAACTGCATGAAAGTGAAACAGGAGTCCCCAGACGCTGTGGCTCATACCTGTAATCCTAGCACTTTGGGAGGCCAACACAGGTGGATCACCTGAGATCAGGAGTTCAAGACCAGCCTGGCCAACATGGTGAAACCCCATCTCTACCAAAAATACAAAAATTAGCCAGGCGTGGTAGTGCACACCTATAAGCCCAGCTGCTTGGGAGGCTGAGGCAGAAGAATCATTTTTAGTAGAGACAGAGGTTACAGTGAGCTGAGATCACGCCACTGTACTTCAGCCTGGGCAACAGAGATGGCACCATCTCAAAACAAAAAAACATGCAAATATTTAGTCATGTTTACTTATTTCTGGTTTCCAGCCTGATTTTATAACATTCCTGACTCTGGGACTCTGCAGCTCTTCAGAAATATGCTTTGAAGAAAAACAAAGTAGAGCACAGGGCTCACATGTCTGTTTTAAACTGTGAATCAAAACATGGCATAGCAGCTCTGTCAGAACTGCTTCCAGACTATTGTCCTCAGTCACAATCCTAAATCAAACTATCTAACAATTTTTTTTCTTCAGTCCACGAGTAATCTAAAAGAAACACATAGACAGAAGAATTTATTATCTTTCTACCAAGTCAACATCAGGCATTAAAAAAATGTAAAAGAAAGTGAAAAGCATCCTTCTCTGACTTATCATAGACCCAGAATCTGCTGGTCACCAACAGCTATCTTCATTTCACCTATTATAGCCAACTTTTATTGGAGAGCTATCATAGAGGCATACTTTATAACAGAGTGTATCATTTTGTGTTTTATGAATTTTAAAGTTTTTTTTTAACTTTTATTTGCATTTTCTTTTGCTGAATTTATTTGTCTCAAGGTTTATGCTTCTTGTAGGGTATGTTTTCTTCCATGCAGTCCTCTCCTTTTCTGCTTTTGGAACAATGTTTCTTTTCACTAAGCGTCATCTGGATATCGCAGGAGTCTGGATGGGTTCATCTGCCCATGAGTTCTGTAAGTCAAGTGATACATTAATGGGTGCTTTGATCCTCCTGGTTGTGCTCAATAACCAGGGAATCTACATCTATACCCTTAAATGCAGCATAACTCTTCATTTTTAAGCAAATTCCAGTACCTCTTCCGGGCCACTGATGCCGAGTCCAGCCCCAATGTTGGTTGTCTTGGGTACAGCTACCAACTCCACCTTCTAAGGTTGCAATGGTACATATAATTTCTGTAAAAGAAAATATTTCAGATACTTGGTGGCTTTTCATTTAGTCATACCTGTGATGGCCTGAGCACCTTCACAGGAGGCCTTACAGTGCACATGAGGGTTTCATCCTTCTAACATGCATGACTTTGTGGGATTTCCTGGGTCACAGTGAATACTGTTCATAGATAACTCAGGCCACACAAGAGGAAAGGTTTTCTTTGGTCTTTAAAGGGAACTGATTAAAGATTAAAAAAAAAAAAGTGGAAGCCAGGCAGAGCAGCTGGCACATGTAGTGACAGCTACTTGGCAGGGTGAGGTAGGACTGTGAGCCCAGGTATTTGAAGTTCTAGTGCACTAAGATGACACCTATGAATGCCACTGCACTCCAGCTGGGTCCACACAGCAAGACCAAATCTCTAAAAAAATAGATAAAATAAAAAAGAAAAATATTTGTGATTAGAAAAACGGTTTTCAGGCTGGGCACAGTAACTCATGCCTGTAATCCCAGCACTTTGGGAGGCCAAGGCAGGCAGATCACCCAGTTGGGAGTTTGAGACCAGCCTGGCCAACGTGGCAAAACCCTGTCTCTACTAAAAATATAAAATTAGCCGGGCACGGTAGCGCATGCCTGCAATCCCATCTACTTGGGAGGCTGAGGCAGGAGAATCACTTGAACCTGGTAGGCCAAGGTGGCGGTAAGCCGAGTTGTACCACTGAACTCCAGCCTGGCCAACAAGAGTGAAACTCCGTCTCAAAAAAAAAAAAAGGTTTCATTTAAGACATTCATGAAAGAAAAAAGTACTTTAAAAAGAGATTAGGCCTGGTGCAGTGGCTCAGGCTTGTAATCCCACCACTTTGGGAGGCTGAGGCAGGTGTATCACTTGAGGTCAGGAGTTCGAGACCAGGCCGGCCAACATGGTGAAATCCTGTCTCTACTAAAAAATATAAAAAAATAGCCTGGAGTGGTGGTGGGCACCTGTAATCCCAGCTACCTGGGAGGCTGAGGCAGAAGTGCTTGAAGCCAGGAGGTGGAAGCTGCAGTGAGCCAAGATCACACCACCACATTTCAGCCTGGGCAACAGAGTGAGACTATCTCAAAAATACAAAAAATAAAAAAAGATTAGAGGCTGGGGATGGTGGCTCATGCCTGTAAACCAGCTACTTGGGAGGCTGAGGCAGGAGAATCACTGGAACCCAGGAGGCAGAGGTTGCTGTGAGCCAAGAATGTGCCACTGCACTCCACTCTCAGTGACAGACCGAGACTCCATCTCAAAAAAAAACCAAATAAATAAAAACTCATGAGAAAGAATGGTATAAAATATGTAGTGTACTCAATAGCCAACCATTTATTAATATCCTGTAATAGGGGATAGGATATTTTAGGGATATTTATGATTAGGAACTTAGCATTTTGTTTTGATTAAAGTCTTTCTGAGGCAGTGAGTCTGACAGTGGTACCTCAATTATCCCTTTAGTGAGTTTCTTAAAGTGAAACTCTTGCTGCTTAGGTATTGGGCTCTCAATAAGAGGGAACAGACTTTTCTGTATATATACACCTGCCACTTTGCTGGGCTAACCTGGTGGTTTTTTTGTTTTTTTTTTTGAGGTGGAGTCTCACTCTGTCACCCAGGCTGGAGTACAGTGGCACAATCAGAGCTCACTGCAACCTTTACCTCCTGAGTTCAAGCAATTCTCCTGCCTCAGCCTCCCGAGTAGCTGGGACTACTGCTGCATGTCACCACATCCGGCTAATTTTTGTATTTCTTGGTAGAGATGGGGCTTCACCAGGCTGGTCTCGAACTCCTGACCATGTGATCTGCCTGCCTTGGCCTCTCAAAGTACTGGGATTACAGGAGTGAGCCATTGTGTCCAGCTAAATCTCCTATTTTTCTTTTTTTTAATGACAGAACTGTCTTAAGGTCTTACTGGAGGCATGACTTTTTTTTTTTTTTTTTTTTTTGAGACAGAGTCTCACTCTGTCTCCCAGGCTGTAGGGCAGTGGTGTGATCTCTGCTCACTGCAACCTTTTGTATCCCAGGTTCAAGTGCTTCTCTTGCCTCAGCCTCCTGAGTAGCTGGGATTACAGGTCTGTGCCACCACACCCAGCTAATTTTTTTGTATTTTTAGTAGAGATGGGGTTTCACCATGTTGGCCAGGCTGGTCTCAAATTCCTGACCTCGTGATCCACCCACCTCAGCCTCCCCAAATACTGAGATTATAGGCATGAGCTACTGTGCCTGTTTGCACTGTGTCTCTCTTAAGAGTTATTTCCAACTCTGTGTCCTAGGTCTCAGAGTGAGGTGTCAGCTAAACTGACCCCCAAAACTTTTTGTTCTTGGGTTACTGGCATTTATTTGTGATGCTGTCAGATGACAGTGACTGCAGAAGCTTCAGAATCATTTTCTGATGGTTCCTATTATTTGAGGGAAACACATTTTTGCCGTGATTGGATTCTGTGGCTTCAAGGAATCTTATGTGAATTAAGCGATCTTCTCGCCTCGGCCTTCCAAATTGCTGGAACTACAGGGTTTTTCTCCAGTGTGAGTCCTTTCATGCATTTTAAGACTCGAGGCACATCCAAAGCTTTTCCCACATTGCTTACATGCATAAGGTTTCTCTCCAGTATGTGTCCTTCCATGTGTTCGAAGGTGTGAGGCAGATCTGAAGGCTTTCCCACATTGCTTACATTCGTAGGGTTTCTCTCCAGTGTGAGTCCTTTCATGATATCGAACGGAATTGAAAGAAACAAAGGCTTTGCCACACTGTTTACATTCATACGGCTTCTCCCCAGTGTGAGTTATTTTATGTGCATGAAGGCATGTGGAACTATGGAATGCTTTCCCACATTCACCGCATTCATAGGGCTTCTCCCCAGTGTGTGTTCTTTCATGTATTCGAAGACTACCAGAATGACTAAAGGCTTTACCACATTGTTTACATTCATATGGTTTCTCTCCAGTGTGAGTTCGTTTGTGGATAAGATACAAACTGAGGCACATCAAGGCTTTCCCACAAAAGTTACATTTATAGGGTCCATCTCCACTGTGCATTATCCTGTGTCTTCGAATGCTTGAACGGGAAATAAAGCTTTTTCCACATTCCTCACAGTCATAAGGTTTCCCTCCAGTGTGAGCCCATTCGTGTGTTCGAAAGTAGGGGAGATCACTGAAGGCTTTCTTACAGTATGTACATTTATATGGCTTCTGTCCGTATTCCTGATACTCATATGGCTTGTGTCCAGTGTCAGCTCTGAGGTGCCTTCTAAGGGATGCATGACCCATGCTGACTTCTCCACGTGATTTTACTCGAAGAGGAGTTTTCTTCTTCAGCATGTCATCTGGAACCTGGGTCAAAATTTCTCCAAGCTGATGACCTGTTTTACTTTCCAAGAGTCTCTCTCCCATAAGACCTCTGTGAACAGTGAGAAGTATATCATAATGGGTTTCTTTACCACTGATTTAATATTCATTAACAAGTTATTGCACTTGGACTTTTAAACACTGTCCAGCAATATGTAGGCTTTCTGGCTTTCTGCCCTGTCTGAATGTGAAGAGATCACATGCTCTACAAGATGGCCCAGCTATACCTGTTATCAAGAAAGATAATATTGATATAGGGCTTCTCACTCTGTCATCCAGGCTGGAGTGTAGTATTGAGATCTCAGCTCACTGCAACCTCCATCTCCCAGTCTCAAGCCATCTGCCCAGCTAATTTTTCTTTCTTTAGTACAGTGGTGTGATCTTGGCTCACTGCAACCTCCACCCCCCAGTTCAGCCTCCCGAGTAGCTGGGATTACAGGCACATACTGCCATGCCTGCTTAAATTTTTTGTATTTTAGTAGAGACGGGGTTTCACCATGTTGGCCAGGATGGTCTCCATCTCCTGACCTTGTGATCCGCCCGCCTTGGCCTCCCAAAGTGCTGGGATTACATGCATAAGCCACCAAGCCCAATCTGCACTTGCATTTTTAACACCATCCAGCAATGTGTAGGCTTTCTGCCCTGTCTGAACATGAACAGACCACATGCTCTACAAGATGGCCCAGCTATACCTGTTATCTAGAAAAATAATATTGATATGGGGCTTCTTAGTACATTTAAAAATTTTTTTGAGATAAGGTCTCACTCTGTCATCTAAGCTGGAGTGTGGTGGTGAGATCCCAGCTCACTGCAACCTCCATCTCCCAATCTTAAGCCATCCTGCCACTTTAGCCTCCCAATTAGCTGAGACTACAAGCGTACACTATTATGCCTGGCTAATTTTTTTTTTTAAGACTGAGTCTCGCTGATGCCAGGCTGAAGTGCAGTGCTGTGAACTCGACGCACTGCAACCTCCACCTCCCAGGTTCAAACAATTCTCCTGCCTTGGCCTCCTGAGTAGCTGGGACTACAGGTGCATGCCACCATGCCCAGCTAATTTTTCTACTTTTTAGTAGAGAAGGGTTTTAGCATGTTGGCCAGGCTAGTCTCAATCTCTTGACCTTGTGATCCCCCTGCCTCAGTCTCCCAAAGTGCTGGGATTACAGGCATGAGCCAGTTCGCCCAGCCTAATTTTTGTATTTTTTGCTAAGAGATGGGGTTTTGTCACATTTCCCTGGCTGGTCTGAAATGCCTAGACTTAAGCAATCCACCTGCCACTATTAAAGTGTTAGGATTACAGTATGCACCTGGGTGCCCGGCCAATGCTGTTTTCAAGTAAACTATTTTACAAGTACTAACCGTCTTTGTCAATTTTATTGCTTCTGAGTCAGGGTTTTGCCCTTCAACCCCAGCTAGATTGTAATGGTGCTGTCATGGCCAAGTGTAGCCTCAAACTCTTCAGCTCAAGCAATCCTCTGACCTGAACTTCCCAAAGGGCAGGATTATAGGCTTCAGCCATGATATTCAGCCTATAACACACTTAAATACACGTTTTTAAAAGAAAAATTTCTTCAAATAAATACAGTGGAAGTTGGCTTATTTCTTGTTTGCTTCTTTTTAATTTTTTGTCTTTTTTTCTGTGAGACAGAGTCTCACTCTGTTGCCTAGGCTGGAGTGCAGTGGTGCAATTTTGGCTCACTACAACCTCCACCTCCCAGATTCAAGTGATTCTCCTGTCTCAGCCTCCTGGGATTTCAGGCACGCACCACTACGCCTAGCTACTTTTTGTATTTTTAGTAGAGATAGGGTTTCACCATGTTGACCAGACTGATCTCGAACTCCTCATCTCATGATGCGTCTGCCTCGGCCTCGCAAAGTGCTGGGATTACAGGCATGAGCCATTGTGTCCAGCTCTTTTTAACATTTTCTTCCTTTTTTTTTTTGAGATAGAGTTTTGCTCTTGTTGCCCAGGCTGGAGTGCAATGGCACGATCTCAGCTCACCGCAACCTCTGCCTCCCGGATTCAAGCGATTCTCCTGCCTCAGACTTCCAAGTAGCTGGGATTACAGGCATCCACCACCATTCCCAGCTAATTTTCTATTTTTTTTGAGATGGAGTCTCACTCTGTCACCAGGCTGGAGGGCAGTGGCATGATCTCAGCTCACTACAACCTCTGCCTCCCAGGTTCAAGTGATTCTCCTATCTCAGCCTCCTGAGTAGCTGGGACTACAGGTGCCCACCACCACACCCAGCTAATTTTTGTCTTGATCCCTTGACCTCCTGATCTGACCGCCTCACCCTCTCAAAGTGCTGGGATTACAGGCAAGAGCCACTGCACCTGGCCTAATTTTGTACTTTTTAGTAGAGACAGGTTTCCACATGTTGGTCAGGCTGGTCTCGAACTCCCAACCTCAGGTGCTCCGTCCACCTCAGCCTCCCAAAGTGCTGGGATTACAGGCATGAGCCACCACACCCGGCCCATTTTCTTCCATTCTATGATTGTCTAGAGAGACACTGCTTTCTCTTGTGAGTGCAAATTACCTTAGGTTACTCCTGGGATTTTTGTACTCATCTTCAATTTTCTGATCTTTCCATTTTTTACCTAAAATACAGATGCAGAAAAATAGTCCTGAATTAGTAAAATTATGAAAAAATTACTAGAGTCTAGGTTCATGGTACACTGCAGCCTTGCTTCATTTATTCATATTTCTATTCCCTGTCCACCCTCCAAATCACCCAACAGTACTGACAAGCTGCAAATACTTGTTCTCTAATTCACTGAGGAAAGTAATGCTGTTACTCTTACCTACAGAAGCCAGGTTCCTGAACGTCTCCTGCATTACATCTCTGTAGAGATTCTTCTGGGAAGGATCCAGCAAGGCCCACTCATCCTGGGTGAAGTTCACATCTACATCCTCAAAGGCCACTGAATCCTGAAACATCTCACATAGGTAAAGAAACATGGGTGAGACTGACAGCACTGGGTTCCTATACTGTATTCCCACAAAATTCCCATGGTGCTGTGGACTCCAAACATTTATTCCACGATTTGATCTATCAGACTTTTTTTTTTTTTTTTTTTTTTGAGACGGAGTCTTGCTCTGACGCCAGACTGGGGTGCAGTGATGCAATCTCCGCTCACTGCAACCTCCGTCTCCTGGGTTCAAGCTATTCTTCCACCTCAGCCTTCCAAGTAGCTGGGACCACAGGCACATGCCACCACACCTGGCTAATTTTTTTTTGTTTTGTTTTTTGTTTTTTTGAGACAGAGTTTCGCTCTTGTTACCCAGGCTGGAGTGCAATGGCGTGATCTCGGCTTAGCGCAACCTCCGCCTCCTGGGTTCAGGCAATTCTTCTGCCTCAGCCTCCTGAGCAGCTGGGATTACAGGCACACGCCACCATGCCCAGCTAATTTTTTGTATTTTTAATAGAGACGGGGTTTCACCACGTGGACCAGATGGTCTCGATCTCTTGACCTCGTGATCCACCCACCTTGGCCTCCCAAAGTGCTGGGATTACAGGCGTGAGCCACTGTGCCCAGACTGTATTTTGTATTTTTAATATTTGTATTTCACCATGTTGGCCAGGATGGTCTCGATCTCTTGACCTCATGATCCGCCCACCCTGGTGTCCCAAAGTGCTGGGATTACAGGCGTGAGCCACCGCACCCGGCCCCATCAGACTTTTTACTCTGTCAACACTCAGTCTTTTCCATAAAGAAATTTTTTTTGAGACAGTCTCGCTGTCACCCAGGCAGCGGCATGATCTTGGCTCACTGCAAACTCCGCCTGCCAGATTCAAGCAATTCTCATGCTTTAGCCTCCCGACTAGCTGGGATTACAGGTGCCCACCACCACACCCAGCTAATTTTTGTATTGAATAGAGACAGGGTTTTACCATGTTGGCCAGGCTGGGTGATTTGCCTGCCTCGGCCTCCCAAAGTACTGAAATAACAGGCATGAGTCACCATGCCTGGCTGAGGTCCTATCAATCTGACTGATAAGAGTCATAACTAACTAAAACAAAAAATCAAGAGCAGAAACCTTTCTTGGAAACTGTGCTTGGATAGAAAAGCCTGGATTATAATTGATGAATTGCTGAAGGTTGAATGGCAACAAGACTGAGAGGCAAAAACTCCAGTGTCCAGTCTCAACAAAAAGGTAAATATTTATCAAATACAAAAACTTTTATGTGAAATGGTATGAGAGAACTCCATCAAGAGAGAAAATGAACCCCATGTGCTCTGTCCAAAGGATTGTAAATGGCTTAGCCCCTATGGAATAGTATGAGGGTACCTGAAAAAAATTAATAAAATTATCATATATTTCAGCAACCCACTTTTGTGTGTGTGTGTCTCTCTCTCTCTTTTTTTTGAGATGGAGTCTCGCTCTGTTGCCTAGACTGGAGTGCAATGGCATGATCTTGGCTCACCATAACCTCTGCCTCCTGGGCTCAAGCAATTCTGCCTCACCCTCCTGAGTAGCTGAGATTACAGGCATGTGCCACCACACCTGGTTAATTTTTGTATTTTTAGTAGAGACGGTGTTTCACCAAGTTGGTCAGGCTAGTCTCAAACTCCTGACCTTGTGATCTGCCGGCCTCGGCCTCCCACAGTGCTGGAGTTACAGGCATGAACCACTGCACCCTTCGATCATGAATATTTTTGGGTGGCACATTCTGTAACAACAAGAGGGTGAGATTCTCCTTTGTTCCCAGAGGAGGACAAGACAGGTGTATTCGATTTATGCTGCAGGCTGATATAGAAATGAAACTCACTATGCTATGAAGGATAAAAATGTACAAATTTGGCCGGGCGCAGTGGCTCAAGCCTGTAATCCCAGCACTTTGGGAGGCTGAGGCGGGTGGATCACAAGGTCAAGAGATCAAGACCATCCCGGTCAACATGGTGAAACCCCGTCTCTACTAAAAATACAAAAAATTAGCTGGGCATGGTGGCACGTGCCTGTAATCCCAGCTGCTCAGGAGGCTGAGGCAGGAGAATTGCCTGAACCCAGGAGGCGGAGATTGCGGTGAGCCGAGATCGCGCCATTGCACTCCAACCTGGGTAACAAGAGCGAAACTCCGTCTCAAAAAAAAAAAAGTACAAATTTACACTATAACAGTATAATGCTATATAGTCTAATACCATTTATATATGGCAATTATATATCATATACAAGTTACATGTAATATTTACCAATTACCTACCATAACCAATGTACTGTATATAAATGCAGCATATGTACGTGTGTGTGTATATATACACACATGCACTGTATCTGGTACTAGACAATGCCTGACTATATTATACTACTATACATTAATATCTCTCCTTTAAATTTCAACAGAGAATACATTACCAAAATATTGGAAAAGAGAATGCTGTAATATATAAGTACATCATAACCCATGATGAAGTGACATTCAATTCAGGAAAGCAATGCTGCTTTTAACTCTGAAAATCCATTCATGCAATACAGCTTAATAGTATAGGATCAACAGGAAACAACACAAGAACATTCTAAAAGATGCAGAAAAAGCATATGACAAACCTTGACATCCCTTGATGAGCAAACACTCGGCCAGGCACAGTGCCTTACGCCTGTAATCCCAGCACTTTGGGAAGCCCAGGAGGATGAATCGCCTGAGGTCATGAGTTTGAGACCAGCCTGGGCAACATGGGGAAACCCCATCTCTACTAAAAATACAAAAATTAGCCAGGTGTGGTGGCGCGTGCCTGTAATCCCAGCTACTCGGGAGGCTGAGGCAGGAGAATCGCTTGAACCCAGGAGGTAGAAGTTGCAGGGAGCTGAGATTGCAGTATTGCACTCCAGCCTGAGTAACAAGAGTGAAACTCCGTCTCAAAAAAAAAAAAAATCCACTCAATACAAAGGAACTTCCTCAACCTACTATAGGTATGTATAAAAAATGCAGAACAACCCTCATTTGTGATGGTGAAGGACTAACTACTTTCTCCCAAAGATAAGACACAGACAAGGATGTCTGCTCTCGTGCCTTCTACTCAGCTTGAGAAGGGAGATGCTACTAGGCAACCAGGTCAGAAAATAAAAGCCTCCCAGATTTATAGTAAATATACATGCACCATGGGGTTGAGGCTGCAGGGAGCCAAGACTGCACCACTGCACTACAGCCTGGGTGACAAAATGAGATCCTGTCTCAAACAATATAAATAAAAACAAACAATAAAAATAAATAAATAAAAATAACAATAAAAGAACTTTCTGTTTTTGGCAAATACACTTAACATAATGAAAGACAGAGTTGGGCTCGGTGGCTCACACCTGTAATCCCAGCACTTCAGGAGGCCAAGGTGGGTGGATCACCTGAGATCAGGAGTTGGAAACCAGCCTGACCAACATAGTGAAATCCCGTCTCCACTAAAAATACAAAAAATTAGCTAGGCGTGATGGTGGGTGCCTGTAATCCCAACTAACTGGGAGGCTGAGGCAGGAGAATCGCTTGAACCCAAGAGGTGGAGGTTGCAGTGAGCTGAGATTGTACTCCTGCCTGGGTGACAGTACTCCCATCTCAAAAAAAAAAAAAGAAAAGACAGGCTGTAGACTGGGACAGATATTTGCAAGATACCTATCTGATGGAGGACTGACACCCAAAAGATAGAAAGAACTCCCAAAACTCAATAAGAAAACAACCAACCAATCAAAAATAGCATGCCATTAGAGAAGAGCAAATGAAAACCACGATGTATCACTGAATTGTTGCGTGGTGGAGTGGCTAAAATCCAAAAAACACTGACATCACGAAATGCTGGTGAAAATGTGAAACCTATCTTGAGGTTTAATGCAGTGTGATTGTGGGGTTGAATCATCTGACTGGCAGTCGTAACACAGCCAGCTGGAACCTTCCAGTTTCTGAATATAGATTAATTTTCTTTTGTACCTATATTCTTTTGTAAAATATTGCAAATGCCCGAACAGAGCCAGGAAGGGCCCCTTTTCTCTTTTTTTTTTCTAAAACTGGGTTTTGCCATGTTGGTCAGGCTGGTCTTGAACTCCCAACCTCAGGTGATCCGCCCACCTTGGCCTTCAAAGTGCTTGGATTACATGCATGAGCCACCATGCCCGGCCGGCCCCTTTTCTTGATCTTCATTATAGATTAACTTCTCTCTCTTACCTTTCTCACACAAAGACTTCATGGCTATCACGATGTCTTAAGCTGGAATGTCAAATGTGATACTGGCTCGCTGCAGCATCAGACTCCTGACTCCAGTGATCCTCCTGCCTCAGACTGCCTGCCTTGTGGCTGGAGCTACAGGTGGGTGCCACCACGCCTGTCTAATTTTTCTATTTTTCTTTTCTAGAGATGGGTTTTGTTGTATTACCAAGGCTAGTCTCCAACCTCTGGTCTCAAGCAATCCTCCTGCCTTAGCCTCACAAAGCTAGGATTACAGGTGTGGGACACCCCACTCAGATAAGAGTTTAACTTTTTTTTTTTTTTTGAGACTGAGTCTCACTCTTTCACCAGGCTGGAGTGCAGTGGCATGATCTTGGCTCACTGCAACCTCTGCCTCCCATGTTCAAGCGATTCTCCTGCCTTGGCCTCCCCAGTAGCTGGGACTATAGGCATGTAACACTATGCCCAGCTAATTTTTTTTTTTTTTTTTTGAGACAGCGTTTCTCTCTTGCTGCCCAGGATGGAGTGCAATGGCGCAATCTCAGCTCACTGCAACCTCTGCCTCCCAGGTTCAAAAGATTTTCCTGCCTCAGCCTTCTGAGTAGCTGGGATTATAGGCATGCACCACCACACCCAACTAATGTTTTGTATTTTTAGTAGAGACGGGATTTCTCCATGTTGGTCAGGCTGGTCAAAAACTCCTAACTTCAGGTGATCCACCAGCACTGGCCTCCCAAACTGCTGGGATTACAGGTGTGAGCCACCACACCCTGCCACCCAGCCCTGCCCAGCTAATTTTTGTATTTTTAGTAGAGACGGGGTTTCACCATGTTGGCCAGGATGGTCTCGATCTCTTGACCTTGTGATCCACCTGCCTTGGCCTCCCAAAGTGCTGGGATTACAGGCGTGAACCACCGTGCCCGGCCAAGAGTTTAACTTTTAACTCTGGAGTTCTAAGCCCATTTCCCTAGAATCTGTATTTTCCTGAATGGCAATTCTCAGATTTTTGCTCGAACAATCTCCTTATAATGGGAATCTGATCGTTTCAATTATTTAAGGTTGAAAAGTCCAAATAAGGCGACTACATCACTGTAACCAATATGGTATTTTTTTGATTTTTATTCTAATGCACCATATGAAAGCCTATCCTTCAACCTGTAAACTAAAAATAAAAACCTAAGCTCCCCACCCCACCTCAATCAAGTCAACTGACTGGCTCTTTACCAATGGGAGGCCCCCCAAAAACCTGAAAGTTCCCAGCTATGTCAGTAAGGGAGATCAGACACTCCACTTCTGGAGTTTAGATGCAGCAACTGACTCACATTCATGTTAAAATAGATATAACTGCAAAGAGGCTGAGCGTGGTGGCTCACTATTGTAATCCGAGCACTTTGGGAGGCCGAGGTGGGTGGATCATTTAAGGTCAGGAGTTTGAGACCAGCCTGGTCAACATGGTGAAACCTTGCCTCTATTAAAAATACAAAACAATTAGCCAGGCATGGTGGCGGGCGCCTGTAATCCTAGCTACTTGGGAGGCTGAGGCAGGAGAATTGCTTGAACCTGGGAGACGGAGTTTGCAGTGAGCCAAGATCGTGTGCACTCCAGCCTGGGCTACAGAGCAAGACTCCATCTCAAAAAAAGACCTGCAAAGAGACCCTTTGTGCCAATAAAATACTAAAAAGCAAATAAGACCTAAGGCCATGCAAGGGAAGGATTAAGTCACGCCTTAGAATTCATAAAATCTAGTGAAACAGATCGGTTTTTTGATGGGGATGGAATCACATGGCAAGTAATACACCCTCTTCGCTTATGCATTCCTTCCTGCCCCTTTCAAATTTTAGACACGACTTCACACTCTCAACCAACTGCCAGCTACAGAATTCCTGAACCACCGTGTCTTCTAAGCCCCGCTTCTATGTGTCCTGCCCTTCCCGCCTTCCAAGCACTGATTTATGATTTTCCCTGCAATTCCTATCTCGCTGAAATAAATAAAACCAAACTGCCATCGAACCTCCTGGGGACCACTTACTGGAGGCTTCAGAGGGTTGTTTCCCTTGGTCATGTTCTCTCATATTCGGCGTAGAATATAGTTCAAGTTATTTTGCAGGGAGTTTTGGTTTTTCCGTTATTAAACCACAAGCCATGACTGGGTGTTTCTCATTCAGGAATCGCTGTTTGCTCAAGTGAACTCTATATATATATATTTTTTCAAACTCCTGTTCTGAGAAGGAAAACTCTTTAATTTTCAAGAGGCCTCAGTTTAGGGGGTTTTTTATTTTTGGTTGTTATTGTTCTTTTTGTTTTGTTTGAGGCCAGGTCTCGCTCTGTCGCCCAGGCTGGAGTGCAGTGGTAGGACCTCGGCTCAAGGCGGTCTCAACCTCCTCCCTCAAGCGATCCTCCCACCTCAGCGCCCCCGGGACTGAGTAGCTGGGACTACAAGTGGGCGGCATCACCCCCACCTTTAATTTATTTTTTATAGAAACGGGGGTCTCGCCATGTTGCGCAGGCAGGTTTCGAATTTCTGAGCTGAAGCAAGCCCCCCGCCTCAACCTCCCAGCCGTCAGCCACTGTGCCTGGCCTTCGGTTTAGTTTTTAAGGAAAAAAGGCGGGACAGGGGACCCCACAGCCCACTGCTCCTCCCACACGAACCCCACACCCGAGGCGGGATTCCCCCCCCATGACCCTCCCGTGGTACCCGCACAATCTGGGGAGACGCGGAGCTGCACAGAGAGGGCTCCTGGGCCGGGGCCGGGGTCGCGGTCGCAGCGCAGGGGCCGACTGGGTGCCCGGGGTCCCAGCTACCGGCCCAACCCCACCCTACGGCCGAAGGGACTGAGGGCCGAGCTGCACCAGGGGCACTCGGGTCTGCAGACCCGAGGCCGCCGCTGGGAGGCCCAGATCCCGCCAGGGCCGGTTCCGGCCGGTTCCACACAGCCCCTCCCCCGTCTTGAGACCCCCCCCCCCCCCCGGTCCCGCACACTCACCATTTCACAGCTACCAGGTGTCCTGGCCTCCTCTCCACGGATCCCTCGAACAGTCCACTCACTTCGCAGGCGACCGAGCGACAGAAGCTATGGCGGAGGCACCTGGGCCCTCTCGGGGCCGGAAAGCCGAGATCCCGACCTCCCCTCGGTGCAAGACGCCCCGGAGTCAGGAGAGGGAACGCGGCCTCCCCTTCCCCGGATGGACAGTTGGCAGGACCCCGCCCCAGCGCCCCTGATTGGATGAGCCTCCAGTCACCGTCCCCTCGGTCCTGATTGACAGCGGAAGCCCTGGGTAACGGGGCCCTGCAGAACCTACCTGACCTGTTCTAAGCACGGATTATCTAAACGAGCTACTGCGTCTTGCTGTTTGGGTATTTGCATTTCAGCCAGACTTGCTCCGAATTGCTAGAGAGGGCACCGTTGTCTTCCTCACTCAATGGACTGTCCCTGCTCCTTTGTCCTGCACAGGGAATTCCAGACTTGGAATCCAGTGGAGGTGAAGGAAATTAAAATATTTTAAATTAAAATATATTTCTTTGACAGATTTTGAAATGGCTGTCGCTCGGTCGCAAACAAAAGTGGCCTGGCAAAGCTGTCTTTGAGAAGGAAAATTAGCATCTGCAGAGAAGCTTCATTGATGAAACCATCCCCTCTCCCCCTTTATTCCTCTCCCCCCCCCGCCTTTTTTTTTTCTTGAGACAGAGTTTTGCTCTTGTGGCCCAGCTGGAGTGCAATGGCACAATCTTGGCTCACTGCAACCTCCACCTCCCAGGTTCAAGCGATTCTCCTGCCTCAGCCTCCTGAGTAGCTGGGATTACAGGCATGTACCACTAATTTGGTATTTTTAGTAGAGACAGTTTCTCCATGTTGGTCAGGCTGGTCCCGAACTCTTGACCTCAGGTGATCTGCCCACCCTGGCCTCCCAAAGTGCTGGGATTACAGGTGTGAGCCCACTGTGCCCAGCTCTTTCTTTCCCTTTATCCAATCTAGGAGAGATTGTGACCCAAACACAGGCAGGGTGCAGTGTTTCATGCCTGTAATCCTAGCATTTCAGGGGGCCTAGACTGGAGCATCGCTTAAAACAAAGAGTTGAAGACCAACCTGGTCAACACAAAGAGACCCCCATTTTTATTATTTAAAAATCTTAACTTCTATCAATTGTATGTTCCCATATAAAAGTCTTCCAAAGGGAGCCAAACGCAATGGCTCCTGCCTATAGTCCCAACGCTTTGGGACAGCAAGGTGGAGGATCACTTAAGGCCAGGAGTTCCAGACCAGCTTAAGCAATATAGGGAGACTGTCTCTACACAAAATTTAAGGTAGCCGGGGATAGTGGCCTGTATCTGTAGTTCTAGCTATTCTGAAGGCTGAGGCAGTAGGATGGCTTGAGCCCAGAAGGTCAAGGCTGCAGTAAGCCAAGATGGCACCACTGTCCTCTAACCTCAGCAACAGAGAAGACCTCTTCTTTTTTTTTTTTTTTTTTTTGAGACGGAGTTTCAAAATATATTGAGCCACCGCGCCCGGCCAGAAGACCTCCTCTTAAACAAATGGGTCGGGCGCGGTGGCTCATTCCTGTAATCCCAGCACTTTGGGAGGCTGAGGCGGGTGGATCACAAGGTCAAGAGATCGAGACCATCCTGGTCAACATGGTGAAACCCCGTCTCTACTAAAAATACAAAAAGATAGCGGGGCATGGTGGCACGTGCCTGTAATCGCAGCTACTCAGGAGGCTGAGGCAGGAGAATTGCCTGAACCCAGGAGGTGGAGGTTACCGTGAGCCGAGATCACGCCATTGCACTCCAGCCTGGGTAACAAGAGCGAAACTCCATCTCAAAAAAAAAAAAAAAAAAAAAGAACGAAGGAAAAAACAGAAACAGAAAAATTTTCCAGTTAGCTGTTTTGAGGCATTTTCCAGAAAAAGTTGGGGAAGCTCTCTCTGATAGTGAGCCAGCCATACGCCCTCTGTGAGTGTGGATTTCTCAGGGTTGTGCTAAGAATTCCGGTATTTACAGCAGGCGATTGTCCAGTTATAACAGTATGTTTTTCTTCAATGAGCAGGGGACAAAATAAGGAGAATAGAAGTAACTAAAGTGGATGAGGTACTTACCTGAGCTATTGAAGTCCTGGAAGACTTTTTTTTTTTTTTTGAAACAGGGTCTCACTCTATTGCCCAGGCTGGAGTGCAATGGTGTGATCACAGTTCGTTGATTTTTAGCAGGGCATGCAAGTTATAACCTTCTTTCTGAGGTTGTAACTGTGGTTGTCTTGTGGCCGTTTTCTGCAGAATGTTTTGGTTTTGTCATTGTCAACCTAAGAGGAAGAACCTAAGGCAAAATTAATGTAAGCAGAGCGTTTATTTGGGCTAGGCTTGAGGAGTGACACTCTGGAGCACAGATTCAAGTTGCAATGAATATACACTTCAATTAGCAACACTTTCAGGTGAATTTATTTACTTATTTATTTACGATGGAGTCTTGCTCTGTCACCAGGCTGGAGTGCAGCGGTGTGATCTAGGCTTATTGCAACCTCTGCCTCCTGAGTTCAGACGATTCCCCTGCCTCAGCCTCCCAAGTAGCTGGGACTACATGAGCATGCCACCATGCCTGGCTAATTTTTTGTATTTTAATAGAGACAGAGTTTCACTCTGTTGGCCAGGATGGTCTTGATCTCCTGACTTCGTGATCCACCCTACTCGGCCTCTCAAAGTACTGGGATTATAGGCCTGAGCCACTGGGCCCAGACTCAGGTGAGATTTTTTTTTTTTTTTTTTTTTGAGACCCAGTCTTGCTCTGTCGCCAGGCTGGGGTGCACTGGCTCGATCTTGGCTCACTGCAGCCTTTGCCTCCCAGGTTCAAGCAATTCCTCTGCCTCAGCCTCCCGAGTAGCTGGGACCCCAGGCTCACACCACCACGCCAGGATAATTTTTTGCATTTTAGTAGAGACAGGGTTTCTCTGTGTGGCCAGGATGGTATCAGTCTCTTGACCTTGTGATCTGCCTGCCTTGGCCTCCCAAAGTGCTAGGATCACAGGCGTAAGCCACCTCGCCTAGCCTGCTCCCTCATTTTAATGTCTCTAGGGTCCTGATAATTAAAAGAACTTTCCTCAGACAAGAATTCTCTAATTATGCAAAGAGTCACTAGAATGAAAATCTGTGAAGGTCAGACTTAGAGCAAGATCCATCTGGGAAGTCTCCTAGAGAAAAGGTTTATTAATTTAACAGTAAATTTAGCTTAAACTAACTCAAGTTGAGAGATTCCTGTTAGTGAAAATGAAGGTCTTAAAGGAGAGAATAATTTCTAAACTGAGAAGGGGACAGAAGGCCATTTTGAACTCCCAGATAAATCCTTAATTTTCTCTGCCTCATCATCTGGTACTGATCCGTCCTGGGGTGCGGGGCTCCATTTCAGCAGTCATGGTTTGACTTCCAAACTTGGGAATATAATTTACCTTCTGACAGCGGGTTTTCCTTGTGAACTATTCATGAAGCAGGCTGGTTATCTGAACTACTTTAAATGTTTGCTTTACTTTTCTTTTGATTCCTTTATAAGATATTGCTGCTGGCTGGGCACTGTGGCTCATGCCTGTAATCCCAGCACTTTGAGAGGCCTAGGTGGGTGGATCATGAGGTCAGGAGTTTGAAACCAGACTGGCCAACATGGTGAAACCCCATCTCTCCTAAAAATATAAAAATTAGCCGGGTGTGGTGGTGCGCGCCTGTAATGCCAACTACTCAGGAAGCTGAGACAGGAGACTCGCCTGAACTCAGGAGGCAGAAGTTGCAGTGAGCTGAGATCGCACCATGCACTGCAGCCTGGGAGACAGAGACAGACCCTGTCTAAAAATATATATACATATATATCTGCCACATAATTCCAGTTTTTCCATGCCCTTAGTTTTATTCAGTTGTTGGTGTGTTATCTTCTTGAGTTAAAATGATTAGATTGAGAGGTAGGTATAAAAAATCTTTGAATTTATAATCTCATCCTGAATTTGTAATCTTTGATGAAATCAGGCCCTCTCTCCTGTTCTAGCGTTGGCCTGACCAGACCTCGAGGCAAACGACCTTCCCCCACTACCCCCCACTTCCCTCAATCCCCCATTTCCAGAAAGAAGGGCTCACTGAATACAGGAAGACACCAATGTCAGCTTTGGAAAGCCTGAAGCATGTTCTCCTGAAATGCCAATATCCCCAGGGTGGGGGCCAGGCTGCAGCTCGAGGAGGAAATACAGCTGTGGCTAGAACCTTTCTTTTTTTCTTTTTTTTTGAGACAGGGTATTACTCTGTCACACAGGCTGGAGTGCAGTGCCATGATCATAGCTCACTGTAGCCTCTACCTCCAAGGTTCAAGTAATCCTTCTTCCTCAACCTCCTAAATAGCTGGGACAATAGGCGCAGGGCCACCAGGCCTGGCTAATTTTTTTTTTTTTTTTCTTTTTAAGAGATGAAGTCTTAGTACGTTGCTCAAGCTGGTCTTGAAGTCCTGACCTCAAGAGGTCCTCCCAGGCCTCCCAAAGTCCTGGGATTATATAGGTGTGAGCCACGTGTCGGACCTAGAACCTTTCTTTCTTTCCTTCCTTCCTTCCTTCCTTTCTTTCTTTCTTTCTTTTTCTTTTTTTGAGAAAGAGTCTCACTCTCTCTCCCAGCTTGGAGTGAAGTGGTGTGATCTCGGCTCACTGCAACCTCTGCCTCCTGGGTTCAGGCAAGTCTCCTGCCTTAGCCTCCTAATAGCTGGGATTACAGGGGCGTACCACCACGCCCGGCTGATTTTTGTATTTTTAGTAGAGGCGGGGTTTCACCAGGTTGGTCAGTCTGGTCTCGAACTCGTGACCTCGTGATTCGCCCTCTCCGGCCTCCCCAAATGCTGGGATTACAGGAGTCAGCCACAGCACCCGGCCAGAACCTTTCATTCAAGCTCCACTCAGGCAGGTGTTAGAGTCTTCCAGTCACTCAGCCCCCCAGAAGGTGGGGCCCTTGGCACTTTCCAATCAGGAGCAGCGTGGCGTGGCTGTGCGAATTGTCCAATCAGACACCGCTCCGGGAGGAGGGCGCGAAGCTTCACAAAACTGCGAGGCCTTCCTTTCACCTGCCCACGCGGTGGGTGTCAGTCTATGTTGCCCGGAGAAACATCAGAGGTGGCTTCGCTGCAGCTTCTTTTCGGCTGTGACCTTCAATGAATAGGAGAGTTGTAGGGAGAACCACAGATATCTCAGAAGCCGGAAAATGGTGAGTGTTGTTGAGGGGGAATGCCGGAGACTGTGGAGGAAGGTGCTGGATGGAACCCACAGGAACTTGCCGTGGCGGACCCGGGCCTGTCCGGGGTTGACTCCAGGATGTGTGGACCGGAGTCCCCCTGGGGCAGCCACCGTGCACGACTTAGGATTCTCAGTGGGTAAACTGCACATGTACATACCCTGACACAGAGCACCTGATGACAGTCATCAACTGAATGTCAGGGAGCTGCAGAAGCAGAAGAAAAAAGGGGAAAGTTTGTATTTCATTAGTGGTTTTACATAAGTTTGTTAATGTTGAAATAATAGTTTGCTGCCTTCTTCATTTTCTCAAAGGAACGATTATTTGTCAGTTTTAAAATCCACTTAAACTGTCTTGAAATTTTTCTCTTCAACTTTATGGTAAACACAGGAGGAAAGCAGGGACTGCTGGATTCTCATTCAAACACTAGGATTGAGGGTGTTTGTCTTCTGAAACTGAACAATGTGGGTGAAAAACTTGCAGAGGGCAGCATAGCCTGAGGCCAGTGACCCACACTAAGACCAGTCTGGAGCCTGCAAAGGGAGAGAAAGGGAGCTCCCCTGGGTGCTTCCTGGGCAGCCTGCCCTCTCCTGCAGATAGGACCCAGCTGCTCAGAATAGCTCTAGGAGTGTGGATTCTGAGAAGCTGCAGAGCCCTGGAAAGCAGGAACTTCAAAGGCAAATGCAGGTGCAGATTTCTGTCCTTTTTGAAGTTGTACCTCTAGTTTCCCATGGCTGTTTTCCGCAAAACATTTTTATTTCTCTCTCTCTCTTTCTTTTTTTTGCAATGGAGTCTTGCTCTGTCACCCAGGCTGGTGTGCAGTGGCATGAATTTTGGCTCACTGCAACCTCCACCTCCAGGATTCAAGCGATACTTGTGCCTCAGCCTCCCCAGCAGCTGGGATTATAGGTGCCTGCCACCACACCTGGCTAATTTTGTATTTTTAGTAGAGACAGGGTTTCGCCATGTTGACCAGCTAGTTTCGAACTGCTGACCTCAAATGATCAGCCTGCCTTGGCCTCTCAAAGTGCTGGGATTACAGGTGTGAGCCACCTCATCCAGCCGATTTTTTCTATGTATAGAGTTGCTGTAGTCAGACTGTAATTTGTATATACGAAGAAAATATGTAAAGGTGATATTTAGAGACTTAGGTAGTGTTCAGGAGAAATGGTTTATGAGTTGGAGAGGTCTGTATTTCAACAGGCTTAAACTGGCTGCAGGTGAGAATGTTCTGCTGGTGTAAATTTTAAGGTATTGAAGGAGGGAGCACTCCCACATTGTGATGATGTGACAGGAGGGTGTGTCGAGCTCCCAGAGTTAAGTCTTTAGGTGTCCTGCCTCATCACCAGGGTATTCTAATGTACGCTGTGACTCCACTTTAGCAGTCACTGGCTCTCAAGCTTGGGAATACATTTTACCTTCTGAATTCACGTTTTCCTTTTTAAATGTTCTGAAGTACCCTGCTTATCTGAGCTAGTTCAAATTTTTGCTTTACTTCCCTTTTGATTTCTTTTTTTTCTTTTTTTTTTTTTGGCCTTTGTCTCAATGGATATAGTAGTATGAGCCCTTTTAATTTCTTTACCGAATATTATGGAAATATAACTTGTTTTTCTATGCATTTAATTATTTTATTCCCTGTTGGGGGATTTTTTATTTTCTTGGGTGCAAATGAGTAGATTGATTTGGGAGGCAAAAGTGGGAGGATCACTTGAGGCCAGGAGTTCAAGACACCCTGTCTCTACAAGAAATTAAAGAATTTGGATTAGATCCAAGATGGCCGACCACTAACAGCTCACGATTGTAGCTCCCAGTGAAAGCTCAGAGAACGAGACGACGCCACATCATTAGACGAATTTTCGTCACTCACCGATTAGCCGATTCCCAGTGGAGGAGCCCCACGGGTCGCCAGCGCGACTCTTGTGGCTGCCGCAGCGGTTTTGCCGGCGTCTCGGCGCAGCAGCTCTTCACGCAGAGCCAACGGGACTGCTTCCCCTACTGACCGGAGTTTGGAGCTCCAGGAAGTCAGAGCCCCTTGTTGCGGACTCAAGAGGGAAGCCAGACCAGAGATTCCCGGGCAGAAGAGCACCATCAGTCTTATCGCTGCTATTTAGGCTGCCACAGTGGGTTGCTCGGATCCCAGCACTGGGAATCAATAAGTCGGACGTCGACTCAGAAAACTAATTAGAAAGGCGGTTCATTTACAATGAAGGGAAAAAAACAGCCTAAGAAGGCCGAGTATACTCAAAATCAGAACCCATCAGCAACGGAACAAGCCCTGATGGAAAAGGACTCATCAGCAACCGAACAAGCCCTGATGGAAGAGGACTCATCAGTAACGGAACAAGCCCTGATGGAAAAGGACTGTGTTCCATTATCTGAAGTAGGCTTTAAAAGGTGGATGATAAGAAACTTCTGGGAGTTAAAGGAACTTGTTCTAACCCAATGTAAAGAAACTAAGAACTTGGAAAAAAGATTAGATGAAATGTTGAAAAGAATAGACAATATAGATATAGAGAGGAATACAAATGAACTTATGGAGTTGAAAAATACAACACGAGAACTCAGTGAAATATGTACAAGCTTAAACAGCCGAATGGATCAAGCAGAAGAAAGGGTATCAGAGGCAGAAGACCAACTTAATGAAACAAAACGACAAGACAAGAATAGAGAAAAAAGGATAAAAAGGAATGAGCAAAGTCTCCAAGCAATATGGGACTATGTGAAAAGACCTAATATACGCTTGATTGGTGTACCTGAATGTGAGGGAGAGAATGAAGTCAAGCTGGAAAATACTCTCCAGGACATTATCCAGGAAAATTTTCCTAATTTAGCAAAGCAGGACACTATTCAACCCCAGGCAATACAGAGAACACCACAAAGATATTCCTCAAGAAGACCAACCCCAAGGCACATAATCATTAGATTCACCAAGATCGAAACGAAGGAGAAAATATTAAGGGCAGCCAGAGAGAAAGATCAAGTCACCCATAAAGGTAAGCCTATTAGGCTTACAGCAGATCTCTCAACGGAAACCCTACAAGCTAGAAGAGAGTGGGGGCCAATATTCAATATACTTAATCAACAGAACTTTCAGCCCAGAATTTCATATCCTGCCAATTTAAGCTTTACATTTGAAGGAAAAATAAAATCTTTTAGGAACAAGCAAGTACTCAGAGATTTTATTACCACCAGGCCTGCTTTACAAGAACTTCTAAAAGAAGCATTATACACAGAAAGGAACAACCAGTATGACCCTTTCTAAAAATACATCAAAAAGTAAAGAGCATTAACATAAAGAAGAATTTTTATCAATGAAAGGACAAAATAGCCAGTTAACAACAAATGGCAGCAACCCTAAATTTAAATTGACCAAATCTCCTAATCAAAAGATACAGACAAAATCTAACGGTATATCCAAAGATATACATAGACTGAAAATAAAGGGTTGGAAAAAAAAAAAAACAAAAACGTACCAACCAAATGGAGAGCAAAAATAAATAAATAAGAAGCAGGAGTTGCAATTTTCACATTTGACAAAATAGATTTCAAAGCTACAAGGATACAAGGGTAAAAGGATTAATGTAATAATAAGAGATCTTAACACCCAGATACATAAGACCCATAATGAGATTTAGATTCAATGAGACAACAAATTGATAATGATACCCAGGACTGGAACTAAGATCCAGAACAAATAAACTCAATAGAGCTCTCCATGTTAAACACACAAAATATATATTATCCACAAAATCTAACGATATATCTGAAGATATACAAAGACTCAAAACAAGGGGATGGAAAAAAACTCACCAACCAAATGGAGAGCAAAAATAAATAAATAAAAAGCAGGAGTTGCAATTCTCACACTTAATAAAATAGATTTCAAAGCTACAAGGATGCAAGGGTAAAAGGATTAATGTAATAATAAGAGATCTTAACACCCAGATACATAAGACACATAATGAGATTTAGATTCAACGCGACAACAAATTGATAACGATATCCAGGACTTGAACTCAGAGCCAGAACAAATAAACACAATAGAGGTCCCCATTTTAAACACATAAAATATGCATTAACCACTTTAAACACTCAAAATATTGATCGGCCATTATTGAAACCCATTTTAGGAATGAAGTAATATTCCTTTTTCCCTCTTTTTCTTTTTTTCCCCTTCTTTTTCTCTTTTTCCCAAAAAAAAAAAAAAAAAAAATTTGCTGGGCTTGGTGGCACGAAAGTTCACTTGAACCCAGGAGATGGAGGCTGCATTGAGCTATGATCATGCTATCGCACTTTAACCTAGGTGACAGTGCTAGACCCTGTCTTTTTTTTTTTTTTTTTTTTTTTTGAGACGGAGTTTCGCTGTTGTTACCCAGACTGGAGTGCAATGGCACGATCTCGGCTCACCGCAACCTCTGCCTTCCGGGTTCAAGCAATTCTCCTGCCTCAGCCTCCCGAATAGCTGGGACTACAGGCGCGCACCACCATGCCCAGCTAATTTTTGTATTTTTAGTAGAGACGGGGTTTCACCTTGTTGACCAGGATGGTCTCAATCTCTTGACCTCGTGATCCACTCGCCTCGGCCTCCCAAAGTGCTGGGATTACAGGTGTGAGCCACCGAGCCCGGCCAATAAATAAAATATTAAAAGTAAAAACATAGGCCGGTCGTGGTGGCTCACGCCTGTAATCCAAGCACTTTGGAGGCCAAAGCGGGAGGATCACCTGAGGTCAGGAGTTCAAGACTAGCCTGACCAACATGGTGAAACCTCGTCTTAAAAAAAAAAAAAAGTAAAAACTTTTCTTTTTTTTTTTTAAGAGAGAAAGGGGCCGGGCGCGGTGGCTCACGCCTATAATCCCAGCACTTTGGGAGGCCGAGGCGGGTGGATCACGAGGTCAAGAGATTGAGACCATCCTGGTCAACAAGGTGAAACCCCGTCTCTACTAAAAATACAAAAATTAGCTGGGCATGGTGGTGCGCGCCTGTAGTCCCAGCTACTCGGGAGGCTGAGGCAGGAGAATTGCTTGAACCCGGAAGGCAGAGGTTGCGGTGAGCCGACATCGTGCCATTGCACTCCAGTTTGGGTAACAAGAGCGAAACTCCGTCGAGAGAGAGAGAGAGAGAGAGAGAGAGAGAGAGAGAGAGAGAGAGAGAGAGAGAGAGAGAGAGAGAATGAGAAAGCCTTGGGCATGCTTCCATATCCTTATCTTAAATTTCCGATCCCTGAGACTATCACACCCTTTCTTCTGTTCCAGTCCCGCCTGGAACTCCCTGCGCACACCTGTGACTCCTCATGCAAGAGGTAGATAAAAAAAATGACCCATTGAGTACAGGAAGTGTCTCCTTTGGCAAACCCGGATTAAGTTCTGCTAAAATGCAAATATCTCCCATCTGTCCATCCCCCGCAAACCAAGTACAGTGAAGGGGACGAGGGGAAGAAGCCCGCCCTGTGTTTGAGGGCTGGGGCCGAGACCTGCTCATTCCGGCTCCACTCATCTGGGTATCACATCTCCTGTCATTCACATCTGTCAAGATGCAAGGGGCAGAGCTCGAAGCAGTACCCAATCAGGGGCGCCGGGGCGGAGCTCTGCGATCAGTCCAATCAGGCGCGCCGCCGGGGACGCAGCTGCAGACGTTCAACCTTCTCGCGGGATTTTCATTTCTCGCGTCCGCCGTACTTGGTTTCGCTTCGCCGGTCCCAGAGGCCCGGAGTGGCTCGGCTGCACCCTGTGTGGCGCTGTTCCCTGTGCCGGCCTTGGGATCCGGAGAGAGGAAGCCGGGACACCCAGGAGCCAGGAAATGGTGAGTGTGTCGGCTCCAGCGTCCCGAAATCGGGAGGAGAGGCTGATTGGACGACCGGAACTGGCTGTGGCGGGGCCCGGGCCTTCCCGCGGGTGACTCTGGGTCTGCATACCCGAGTCCCTCTGGCGCAGCTCAGCCCTCGGTCCCCTCGGCCTCAAGGATGGGGCGGGACTGGCAGCCGGGACCCCGGGGCTCCTGTTCTGCCCTGTGCCGCTACTGCGGCCCCGGCCGCGGAGCCCCAAGTCCCCAGATTGTATAGGGGGCCACGGGAGGGTCATGGGGTGGGGAAAATCCTGACTTGTACGTGGAAGGAGCTGTGGTCTGTGAGGTCCCAGTTTCTTTTCTTTCCCCAGAGGACACCTGTTTTTCCCCTGAGTTTTCTAAGTGTATGGGATGCAGGGTCTCAAAACCTCACCCCGTCCTGCAGCTTGCTGTTTCTAGGGCTTGCAGTAAATCCCCAATTTTCCGGTTCTCTTCTCGCTTTTCCAGACGCCAACCTCTCCCCTCCAGTTCACGACAAGATTAGCAACCGTTTCTCTTTTATTCTACATTTCAAACATTGTGGTTTCATTGTTTATTTTTTCAACAAAGCAATGGATGACTCTTCCATAAAGATTTGTTTTCTGTTCGTAGTCTTGATACTCCGCTTTAAAACAAACCTTTGTGCCTCTCCTTTGATCTTCCCTAGGCACGGACACCTCATCAGAAAGTCTTTGAGTTGAGGTTCCCCTTGGGAATCTTTATAGGGTGATATGCCTTCAGCGTGCCGTCCTATTTATTTTTTTCCTGGTTTTGCGTTTCAAAACTGCCTGGGGCTGACTCGAGCTGCCCACAGCTGCCAAATCTCTTGGAGGGTCCAGTGAATATTGGTTCTTGGGTGACTCCTCCCAGAGGACAGTTGAAATAGAAGGCTGGGGCAATATTCTGAGACTAGGGGAAATCTAGCACACGCTGCTTCTAAATAGCCAACCCCTGGGGGCACTCAGATTTTCCTACCTCAGCCCCAGTTTCCACTCTTTGGAGACACATTGATGGTCAGCCAATGAGATGCTGGTATTGAGGACTGAGAAGAGAAAGGTTTTCTTTTGTTCGTTGTTGTTGTTTTTTTGAGCCGGAGTTTCGCACTTGTTGCCCAAGCTGGAATGCAGTGGCACAATCTTGGCTCACTGCAACCTCCGCCTCCTGGGTTCAAGCGATTCTCCTGCCTCACTCAGCCTCCCATGTAGCTGGGACCACAGTTTCGCACTACCACTCCTAGCTAATTTTTATATTTTTAGTACGAGGTCTCACCATGTTGGCCAGGCTGGTCTGGAACTCCTGACCTCAAGTGATCCACCTGCCTTGGCCTCCCAAGTGCTAGGACTACAGGCATGAGGCATTGCACGTGGCCTCAAGAAAATAATTTTCATTTGAAAAATGTGGTTCCTTGTGAATGAACAGTCCCATAGAGACATTCAAATGATACAGCAATCACCTTCTAAATCGCTGGAGCTATGAATTCATCTTTTGAAACTGCTGTTGCCACAAGTAGGTATAATTAATTTACTAATGCATCACGGGACCCTGGAACCCACACCCTATAGCTTAACAGTGCATAGCCATGCACTAATCAGTGTTACTTCTGTAAATCAATGAGAATTCTTGGCAACTTTGTATCAGCCCACTCCCTGTCCCCCCTTTTCAGACACTTTGGGTCATATTTTATGCTTCAGCCTTGACTTTTTAGGTTGACAAGGGAAAAGATGGAAATGATTCCTGTCCTTTGGATTCTCTCAGCCTTGTGAAGGGAGAAAAACTCTCAGCAAGATGGTGGAAGAACCTGGAAAACAAAATGCACTTCGGGTACACAGTGGGGCATAATGCAGTGTCTCCTGAGCAGATGGTCACAGGGCACTTCCATGAGCATGATGAGGTTAGAGGGATGTCCCACCTGATAGATAGGATGACCACTGGAGTCAGATGGATGTCTGTATTCCAGGTCAGCACTGCTTCTCCCTGCCTGGGTTTGTTCCCTTAACAACAAGTTCAGCTTGAGTTTTTTCATTTAGTCCAAATTGCATTTTATCTGTAGAGCTTCATAGAGAAGACAATGTATTTCCCAAGAGGTGGATTTCAGGGAAAATGGAATGATTTAGTCTCATATTCCACATTTTAAAAATTGTTTTCTTTTTTTTTTTTTTTTGAGATGGAGTCTCACTCTGCTGCCAGGCTGGAGCGCAGTGTCCTGATCTTGGTTCACTGCAACCTCCGCCTCTTGAGTTCAAGCGATTCTCCTGCCTCAGACTCCTGAGTAGCGGGGACTACAGGGGCATGCCACCACACCCAACTAATTTTTGGTTTTTTTTGAGATGGAGTTTCACTCGTTGCCCAGGCTGTAATGCAATAGCACGATCTTGGCTCACTACAACTTCGCCTCCTGGGTTCAAGCGATTCTCCTGGCAAACAAGATTAGAAGGAAGATGAGGAGGAGGAAGGCAGGATGGAGGGTGCAAAATCAGACCTAGGTCAGAGCATGTTTTATTCTGAGGTTATTCTGTTCTTAGGAAGTGTTGCCTATTTGTTCAGGCTGAGAGTGGGTCAAAGATAAGGGTCTGGAGGAAGGAGAGAAATTTGAGGAATGTTTGGTTAACGAACGTTTTGTTCCTACTGATCAGTGAAGACAAAACTGTTCAGCTAATGTTTTATGAAGCAAAGAATGGGCATTTGTAGGCCTGATTCGATGGCTCACACCTGTAATCCCATCACTGTGGGAGCCTGAGGTGGGAGGTTAGCTTGAGCTCAGCAGTTTGTGACCAGCCTAGGCAATATTGCCAGACTTTGTCTCAAATAAAAGAATGGGCATTTGTAGTCACTATCTAGTTTTGTTATTTTAAAAAAAGAGCCTTAAAATAATGGGAAGGGTATCTTTGTGTGAGTCTGCTTCTGCAGAACAGAAAGGACTGAGTGGTTAACGGGGCAGTGATTGCTATGATTATATCTATTTAACTTGATTATAGGGCTTGAGTAAAACTCAACATGATGAACAGTTAGATTTTGCTTCCACAGAATTGGTTTAACTGTAGAATAAATTGGTTTTTTTTTTTTTTTTTTGAGACGGAGTTTCGCTCTTGTTACTCAGGCTGGAGTGCAATGGCGCGATCTCTGCTCACCGCAACCTCTGCCTCCTGGGTTCAGGCAATTCTCCTGCCTCAGCCTCCTGAATAGCTGGGACTACAGGCGCTCGCCACCATGCCCAGCTAATTTTTGTAATTTTAGTAGAGATGGAGTTTCATCTTGTTGACCAGGATGGTTTCCATCTCTTGACCTTGTGATCCACCCATCTCGGCCTCCCAAAGTGCTGGGATTATAGGAGTGAGCCACCGCGCCTGGCCACTGTAGAATAAATTGTATAAATTGGGAAAGTCTCTGAGGGGCAGACTTAGATGCTTTTGCCTCTTGGAGGAAGGCTTTATGAATGAGTTTATTTGGATCTGTGATAGAATAAAAATATATTGGGTCTTCCTCTCTAGTCCCTCACTTAGAGATCCTAATATCCTTATATTTTCATGAGTGATAAGAGTGTTTTTTTTTTTTTTTTTGAGATGGAGTTACGCTCTTGTTGCCCAGGCTAGAGTACAATGTTATGATCTTGACTTACTGCAACCTCAGCCTCCTGGGTTCAAGCTGTTCTCCTGCCTGAGCCTCCTGAGTATCTGGGATTACAGGCATGCACCACCATGCCTGGCTAATTTTGTATGTTTAGTAGAGACAAGATTTTTCCATATTGGTCAGGCTGGTCCCGAACTCCTAACCTGAGGTGATCTGCCTACCTCGGCTTCCCAGTACAAGCTTGTACTCGGCTGGGAGTACAAGCGTAAGCCACCGTGCCTGGCCCAAGAGTGTCTTTTTTATTCCTAGCAAGCTTAGTTTAATTTATGCTATCAGGTGACTCAGGGTGAAGCTCCTAGATAACTTGTGGATGTACTGGTAACCAGAAAGAGCAAACACATCATTAGAGAGTTGGAACTGTAGGATACCCCCTGTCTTTTTGTTTCTTTGTTTTTGTTTCTGTTTTGTTTTGTTTTTGAGATAGAATCTTACTCTGTCACCCAGGCTGGGGTGCAGTGGCACGATCTTGGCTCGCTGCAATTTCCACCTCCCGGGTTCAAGGGATTCTCCTGCCTCAGCCTCCCAAGTAGCTGGGATTACAGGTGTGCACCACCACACTCAGCTGATTTTTTTGCATTTTTATTAGAGATGGGCTTTCACCATGTTGCCCAGGCTGGTCTTGAACTCCAGAGCTCAGGTGATCATCCACCTCGGCCTCCCAAAGTGCTGGGATTACAGGCATGAGCCACGCCCGGCCTAAGCCCCATTTTTTTGACAACCGTAAAGGGGGAGAGCCTGGATATTGAGTTTTGTTAATATGCAAATTATTTTATTTATTTGTTTTTTTGAGACTGAGTCTTGCTCTGTCACCAGGCTGCAGTGCATTGGCACGATCTCATCTTGCTCAAACCTCCACCTCCCAGGTTCAAGCGATTCTCCTGCCTCAGCCTCCTGAGTGGCTGGGATTACAGACAACTGCCACCATGAGTGGCTAATTTTTTTTGGTGTTTATAGTAGAGACGGGGTTTTACTCTTTGGCCAGGCTGGTCTTGAATTCCTTACCTCAGGTGATCCACTCGCCTCGGCGTCTCAAAGTGCTGGGATTACAGGGGTCATCCTTTATAACAAACTGGTAAACTTGTGTTTTGCTGAGTTCTGTGAGTAGTACTAGCAAATTATTGAAAGTGAGGAGGGTTTGTTGGATTTATATGTAGTTGGTTAGAATTAAGGGTGCCTTCCCTCCTCCCTATCAGGGCTTGTGACTGGCATCTTCAGTGGGGGTTGTGTTCTGGGGTGAGCCCTGGACTTGCAGGGTCTGGGCTAATGCCAGGTAATGTCAGAACTGAATTACTGGATCCTCTGCTGGTGTTGGAGAGTTAATTGATATTGAGCAGTCTCCAAATATTTGTTGT